AAGGGTATCCCCACAGTAGTAACACAAAAATATAAATCTAACAACTATATAATATCCTCTGAGACATCCCACAGTGTACACATAGAAATAATAATATAAGAGTGTACTTATCTTCTGAGGGAGCAGCGAAGAAAGAGGGAAGAAGCATGGAGTGCTACACCTTATATACTAAGGGGGTGGATATCTATGAGCACTGTTCCATATGCTAATGTTATTGTTATTTTTTTCTCTCATTTGCATATATCTCTCTTCGCTGCTGAGGGAGAATTAAAGAAAGAGAAGCATAATAGGAGCCTCCGTGTCTTTAATAAAATCTTACCATTTATATACGATCTTGAATTTTGAACTTATTTGTTGATATTTAATTTAAGACACTGTGCTGGTATTATTCCTCTCACTCAGCTGTACAAAGGGTAGTCAAAACATAGTAGTAATATGTAACATGGAAGAGGAGAAAGTATTATTAGCTTTTATATAGTGCCCACTTATTCCACAGCACTTTACACTATTATAAATAGGAATAAATGAGAAAATTACAAATTGTTACAGGAACAATAGTTGGATGAGGATCTTGCTCAAAAGAGCTTAAAATCTAGAGGAGGTGGGATATAAAAACCATAATAGGAAGGGCTTTGAGGGGGATAGCAATAAAGAAAGAAAGTGGGAAAGTAGCAGAAGATGAGAGTGGAGTATGGCAACTAAGAGGGAGCAAATAAAATCATAATCTAGAAGAATAGTCTCTTATTACAGAAATGTAAATAGCCGTGGATTGAAAATTCCACGGCCCAATACATTTCTATAAATAAACTTTGTTTATGTAAATTGTATAACAACGCAGAGTATTTGTAGAGTTAGAATACGCAATGGATGACAGACAAATTACTCTGAAAGGGCACACCAAGGACCATAACCACTACAGAGTACAGTAGTGGTTATAGTGCTTGGAGTGTTTCTTGAATCAATAACTTAATATGCTTCTTTGAGTTTTTAAAATTTAGTTTCAAAGATCTTCACACAAATGAGAATTTTTTAGGTAAAACAGGCGTTGTTCTGAGACAAAGTTATAAATGTTGATGTTCTATTGTGATTTATATAGGGTTGTGTAATTAATAAAAGGTTTAGTGATTAATAAAAGGTTGTGTGATTAATATGAGAATGTGTGAACAATGTAACCAGAGAAAATTAACACCAAATACGCATAAAAGCATTCTAATTTATTAGAGGTTGTTTAAAGGCGGTAACCCTAACTTGAAACCATAAATACAAATTAAATCTAATCTTACAAGGAGAAAAGATTCCACAGAATTACCTTCTTATATGTGTTCAAGATAAAGATAGACAAAATTCAGCCCTACTTGTAAATAAATTCATAACTTTATTTGAAATATATAAAATCACTTAGATGGGTAGATCCTGGCCAAAAAACGCGTTAACAAAAATGGCATGAACAAACACCCCAAAATAAAAACCCAATAGAGGAGCAATATGCATAAAAAGTGTTCAAATTAAAAACTGCTACATAGACTAATTAGATGTGTTACAGTTGCAGATAGTTGGATAAATGTAATTGCTTAGTAGTCACACTCTGCAAGACGTATTTCTACTGTCACAAACTAGTATAAATAATGACAAACAAAGTGTAGAAAATACATTCTAGCAGTTAAAGTTCTGCAACATTATATCTGACACCTACAGCTTGAAGATTGTAGAGAATTTTTACAAATTAATCTTTTAGATTCAATATTAATACGAGGCGGCCACTCGAAATATGAAGCCCCACAATGAATAGTAGAATTGTATTAATTAGCCGTTTCATTTAATCTATCATATATAATATTAGAATCATTAGAGTGATTGCTTAGATCCACAGGTAGCTATATGAAAACCTTGTAGACCTCTGAGATAAAAATTTTAATAAAATGGAACAAAGGACAATGGAATATACATAGTCACGAGATAACATTAGAAGCTATGACAGCCTGAGGCAAAAAACACTGCAACATACTCCAAGAACGCAAAATAATTAGGTATGTACACTTCCTGGAAAGCAAACAGAATATTGAGAGAGAATATTAGACTGTAACTGCCACTATTAGGGTGTGTACCTTGATTGTCCAACAATGGTCCTGGTTGCTATACCATAAGGGGAACCAAGACAAAAGATAATTGTGTCTTATTCCCTTGAAAATGTAACCATATCAAGATGAGAAAAAAGAGAAAAACAGTGTCCATATTATAATAATACAGGTTCATGTAACTCCTGGAGTGATCAATGACTGTGTGCCAAAATAGCAATATAGCTGTAATGTCAGTAGGAGACTGGACATGTAGTAATCTATAAGGGGGTGGTTTAAAAAAAAAAAAAGTCTGAAGGACACTTCCTAGACCTTATCCTTGTACGGACTAAAACAAATTAATAAATGAAATAGAAAATAGGAGTACCCCTTTCCTTCTCCTGTTTCAAGGCAGCCCCGCTTCCCCCACAAAAGACAGACAGCCACTAATGCTATAAAGCATGCAGAATACAGCAGTATTAATGACTGTGTCTTTTTATACTTTCAAATAAACCCCCAGCCCTGTATAGATGACTACAGTTACATGAGATTAGATTTCATTTGTATTTGTGATTAATATAAGGTTGTTTGATTAATATAAAGATATATTGACTTAAATCGTAAAACTTAGAACCTTAGGACCTTAGAACCTTAGGACACATTGACTTAGAGAGACAGTGTTGGTGAAAGTTATTCCCTGTGATACTCTGCTAGTGTAAAGACATCCGATGCGCCAACACATGGGCTGCCAAGGATTGCCTGTACTGGCCCAGAAGTAATTTGTTTATTTATAAAATATTTTACCAGGAAGGATACATTGAGATTTCTCTCGTTTTCAAGTATGTCCTGGGTCCACAAAACATTGCAATGATATACTAGGGTACAATAAAATACCAAAACAATATTAATATTCAATATATTCAAAATTTAACATAGAACAGGTAAGAAATATATAATCAACCATGACAGGTAAGTTCTGTTTTGAGATTGTAGAGAGGAATCTCGTAAAGGACTTTAGGCTTGGGGAAGATTTGAAAGTGTGCAGGAGGTCGTTCCATAATTGCAGTGCTCTGTAGCAAAAGGAGAATCGGGCTGCTTTATTTTGTATTGACGTAGATTAAATAAAGTGCTGGTACCTGGATCAGAGGTTGTAGGAGGTAGGAACATCCAGGGATAGCATTATGCTCAGGTAGGGTGGGCGCTTCCCAGAAAAGCTTCTAAACACAAGGCTGGAAAGATGAAGGATGCGTCTGGATTCCAGCATTAACCAGTTTAGTTCTTTTAATATGTCACAATGGTGGGTGATGTAATTACGTGGTAGCACAAAGCAGCAGAATGAGTTATACAATGTATTAAGCTTATTAAGGTGGGTTTGCGGTACAGGTGCATATACTACATCCCCATAATTAATGATTGGCATCAGCATTTGCTCTACAATCTTTTCCTTTACTGCAGGGCTTAGGCAGGATTTGTTTCAGTACAGTGCACTTAGTTTTGGATAAAGTTTTGATGCAAGTTATCATATATGGAGGCCAAAAAATAGATTGGGATCCGACAACATACCCAAGTATTTGAAAAAATGGACTGCGGTCAGTGTGCTATTTGATTTTGTTTTGATGCATAGATGGGAATTTTGTAATTTGTTCCAAAGATCATTGTGACATGTTTAGGAAGAGGTTGTTTTTTGTGATCCACTTTTCTACCTCTGTGCACTGGTCTTGGAGCACAACCTCAAGCTGTGGTAGATCGGATGTGCTTGAATAGATTACAGTGTCGTCTGCGTACATTTGAGGATTTGCAGGACATTAGGCAGATATTTATAAATAATGTGAATAGTAAGGGGCCGAGAATGGAACCTTGGGGAACACCACATGTGACTGGGAGAGGGAGAGGGTCGCTGTCAGAAATGGACACATATAGTTATCAATCCGATACATATGATTGAAACCAAGTTAGCAGACGATCACCAATACCTGAGTTTTTTAGTTTGTGCAGTAGAATGTCGTGGTCTACTGTGTCAAAGGCCTTTGCAAAATCAAGGGAAATGGCTCCAGTTAGGTTTCCTTGTTCCATGGCAGTTTGGATGTCATTGCAAATTTTAAGAGGGCAGTTGTAGTTGAGTGATTCGGGCGAAAACCTTCTTGATAAGGGGTCAAATAGTTTGATTGTTGGTAATACTCACATAGTGTGTATGGACACATTTTTCCAAGATTTTTGACAATACTGGAAGCATTGGGTGATATTGGGCGATAGTTAGAAGCCAAAGTAGTGTCACTACGTTTATGGATAGGCCCTACTCTAGCAGTAATAAGGATGTTAACTACAAGCAGACATTTGCATTCACATTTACAGACACTCTTGTCATGGTGATGGATTTATTGGGGGTACATATTGTTAAGGATTTAGGAGAGCAAATTTAGGGACACACCTATGGTAATAAGTGGTTATATGTCACAGTAAGAGTCTGCTGAGGAGACACATGCCATTTACAGATACAGTGATTTATAGTCAGGAAGCCTTCTAGGCAGGAACACAAAAAGAATGCAGTGACATTTATTTATAGTTACAAGGTTTCATAAATGGGGATATATCTCACAGCCAGCTGCAGGAAGTTAAAGATCTATAAGTATTTTATGTATCGATTCCGCTGCCTGCACTTGTTATTCACGAACTGTAAGCTCATATGAGCACAGGGACAGTGCAAGGATTTTGCTACCACAGGCAAAACATATTTGTTTCAACTCTTTCAACCATACAACAAGAGTCACAGACAGGACACTTTTTGCCTGAGAGACAAAGAATGGCATTTTTTGTGTGCATGAAACTCACAGATCTTTGTGTGAACAGTCCTACTAAAATGGAGGACGCAGTGTGTATATATATGACATATGGAGGCTGATGATATTTCAAGGGGTGCTATTATGTATCTCTGCAACCTCTATCAGTATGAGAAGTAAGCAATGAGTGACACCATTTAAACACAGTCTGGTGAGCAGTCTGGTGAGCCTCAGATACTGGAGTCCACTTGAAAATATCCAAACAGGTCAGTCCATGTCTGCAGAGCATTGAGAGCACATGCCACCAGTCCGTACACAAACCCACACACTGCCGGACTAGGAAAGATCCTCTACAATTCATGCCTAATGTCAGGGAACCCAACACACCTATTGCTTTTTAAATTTTTCGAAAAATGGTTTGATGCTGCAACTCAAAACCCCTTTCCAGCCCTCTTATGTTAGTGGCCCAACATGCAACATGTGCATTTTCACCCCCTTTTCCCTCCTGCCAGCCCTTCCATGCTGGCAGTTGTTTGCAGGTGGCACTGTTGTTACTGTCCGAGGTCTATTTCTGTGAGATTTTATTTCTGCAAAATGTATGAAATTGTATAGAGGTTTCTTTTCAAACAAATTCAAGAGTTAATCTGTGTGTAGTGTCTCTGAACATTAATGTAGGTTATATTTAAGAGGATTGTCAATTGTATGTGTATACACATTTGTGTGGGAAAGTAGCACATTTTAATAGGCAGTGCACCCGGAAATGTGTTCCCTATTTTAAAAATACTTATACAAATTGTGACCATAATATGTTATCATTTGAGATTAACTAAAAAAATCTAATTTATATGGGCTGTACAATATTTCTTCATTTTAAAAAGGCAACATTTTTTAGAATAAGGGCATCTTTCCAACCAGGTATTATTCACTGGCAAAAGCACAGTGAAGAACAAATTCTACAGAAATACTCTTCTTAATAAATACCATCCAGTGGCACAATATAAAAGAAGAAAATTAAAACCAAGGTCGCTTTGTAAAAGGGTCATGCAAATAATAAAAGATAAGAAATGGTTATTCAAAATATTTAAATCAGAGGAGTCAATTGTATCCTATAAAAAATATAAGCATGCCAAGAGGGCTTGCAAAAGGGCAATTAGATGGGCTAAACTTGAAAATGAAAAGCTCACTATCCAAGAGAGCAAGACCAACCCTTTTTTTAAGTATGTAAATACCAAAAAGGTTAATAATGAAAGTGTTGGTCCATTGTAAAGTGAGTCAAGTTAGTTAATTAAGGACGATCAGGACAAGGCAGAAATTCTAAATAATTACTTTTCTTCATTATTATTATTTAGGGAATATGAATTTATGACTATGTAGATTTGCAAATCCCTGTTACAAAAGCTTTTTGGCAAACAGGTGATTGTTTAACACATGATAAAGTGCTTTGAAAATTAAATAAAGTTAATGTAAACAAAGTCCCAGGGCCTAATGGTATGTACCCACATGTAATTAGGGAGATTTACATTTATCTGTATTGAATCTCATCTGCCACTTGCCTGCCAAATTCCCCAATTTAGTTAAGTTATATAATGTTCAGACTATATGTTCTTACTTTGTTTTGTGTCATCTGCAAACACCGACAAAGGACTTTCATTGCCCACCATAAGAACATTTATAAACAGATTAAAGAGATTTGGATACATCGAGGGACTAGGCAGGCAAGTGGCAGATGAGATTCAATACAGATAAATGTAAAGGCATGCATTTTGGAATAAGGAACAAACAAGCCACTTCTACATTAAATGGGGTTAAGTAAGGGAAACCATTAAATTAAAAGGACTTGGGAACAATTACAGATTACAAACTAGGCAATAGTATTCAATGCCTGTTTGTCGTTGCTAAACATAGCAAGGTACTTTTGTGTATTATATTGATCTGATAGTTGGTCAATCGCCGCTGGACATACATCACTAGTGTGGTGCCGCCGCGGCGAGAGGCCGACACAAGTACCGTGGGGAAACTCCAGGGGTCTCCAGGGGCTTAACCCCTACACAACAAATAAAAAAGGAAAGAAAACACAAAAGCTAGTTACAATGCCAAAAGACAAACGTGGTTAGCTGTGTTTGCCTGGAAATATACAGTAGTCTAATATAAATGCAAGATATACACTATATATATAGGATACAAAGAAATTGAGATAGCCCTACAACGTGTAATCTGAACCAACAAGTAGATACATGTATATATCTTGGTATCTGTATAGGTATACGGGAATCACCAGTATCTTACTAGCAATAGGCCTCTGAGCTTTATTAGTCTGGCTCTATAGGTTCCTAAGATGCTGTTTCTTTAAATCTGGTGTACCCTCCAAAATCATCAAAAATATTAATAATAACGAAAGAGTAGATAGAGCTACCACTAAATACTAATGCAAATAATATCTAACCACCTCCTGTCTCAGAGCTGGTCTCAGCTGTAAAAAATGGTCGAATACCCTATATAAAAAGTAATAACAAAAAATAAGCCCTATATACAGTATGTACACGGCTAGGTAAGACCATATAGTGGAAGAAAGGTTAGGAGATATAGAACATGGATATCATGATGCTTAGAATGCTCAATGGCATATCCATGGATAGGTTGTAACATACAAGGCAGTCGTAGAGAGGAATATGGAGGAGACAGATAGTAACATATACTGCAACTCAGTCTAATAGTCTCAGTGATACATAGTCCCTCCTTTCCTAAATGTAACTCTTAGACCGCTACATGGGTAGCTCGATAAAACATAATATCTACTCAATGAAACATAGTATCTACTTAAGTGAAAAAAAAAACAGTGACACACCTAAGTGCAATGTCGTGTCTAGTGGAAGGTGTCCATAAAACAAAAATAGGTGAAATGCCTGACACGCGTTTCGGTGCTATGAGGTAAAGCACCTTCGTCAGAGGCAAACAAGCTACTGTTTGAAAGAATTCTTAAATACCTCATTCTCCGGTAAAACCATCGCGGGTCCTCCAATCAAATCCACGCCTTTCTAAAGGGTTTGAAAGGTGGGCAGGGCTAGCTTAGTCGCATGGCACGAGTAAGGCGGTATTAGGATAATACATCTATCCAATTCCGCCCACTTGTCAGATCAACTGCTATATGCCATATCATGAAGTGCCTCCCACTGCAATGTGGAAACAAAGCAACCACATAAACAACATTATCCATATTGGCAAAAGCTATATGTTAAATTAAAGACTAGAAAGCATATTCTTACTGATAATCAGATTGGGTATATCATTCTTGTACGTGCAACTAACCCACTCCATTCGTGTACATAAGGAAAACACTTAGAGGGTCATGATTTAAATTACTGCCATAATGTGCAGCCACAGGCTGCTCAATGTTTACTAGACATGCCCCTACTCGCGGTATAGCGAGTAGGGGCAAAATTTACTAATACTAAGTAATTTTTACTTAGTATTAGTAAATTTGTCTGAAAGGCCAATTTAGGTCTTTCAGCCTTTTGGTAGATAACTCCCTAATACCGTGGGAATTAGGGAGTTATCTACTAAGCGGCTGCAAAAGAAGTCCCACAGTGTCGATGTCCCGAAATGCCGAAGTGCCGAAGTTGTCGAATTTCCGAAGTGTCGAAGTGCCGAAGTTCCGAAGTGCTGAAGTGCAGAAGTTCCGAAGTTGCCGAAGTTCCAAAGTGTTGGAGTGCCGAATTGCCGAAGTCCCGAATTGCGAAAGTCCTGAATTTCGGAATGCCGAACCGAAACAAAAATTGTCCCCATGCACATGCCTATTATACATCTGCTATATCTTGCACCGTCCACATACTACCACACAGTAACTCTCCTCACGACCCTACCTACATGGCCTACTCCTGGCCAAACGCACAGTATGTTATAATTTCCTTATAAGAGATGTTCTCCTTACCTCTCTTATTTTACTACGTCAGTCTAGCATATTGTCAATTTACGATGCGTGCAATATGCCACATACATTATGACTCGTACTGAATTACACGTGGGGCATTTAAGTTTCCCTGGGTCGACCTTACTAGTCAGCCTCCATCGTGCTTACATAGCCATTCCATACTGGACTATTCCCATGTCACCGCCGCATATTAGAAGAGTTCATATACATGATATGTATACTGTCCTTCCCGCTTCCCTGGCTATTTGACTGCTCGGGCAACCATGGTACGAGTTACCACATTAGCCAGGCACGTTCAATGCCTATTGTACTGCCTTACCCAGCATCCAGGCTTTTAAGTAATGCCAGCTTACAGGGTCAACCATCACTTTATCATACCACTGCCAACTTTTATTCACAACCACACTCTTTACAAGTTACATACGTCCCACCAAAGGGCTATCCACTATAGCATAATATCGGCTCCTCATGTGGGCTATTACATACGGCATAGGAATTACAATTTGGCATAAGTTATCACGTTTTCACAACCTACCACAGCATGCCTCTACACATGGCCCTCACTAGGCCATCACTCGCACGTGACATACGACCCACTGCAGGCAATCCACTATGACTCAATTCAGCCCCACAGTTGGGCAGTCATATACGACCAAGGTCACGTTAGACCGCTCAAATTCTCACTATATGGCCTTTCTCGGCATGTACAACTCCAGTCACAGACACTTACGCAATCTCCAATATTAGTTCCTGCTGGTAAACTAAAATGTCCTACATACTTCATACACATTTCAGGTTCTTCTAGCAGAAAGACGCCCAGCGGGAACTCACCTAGGCTCAATATAGTTAGTTGTCTCTTCCCTATACATATATATGTCTTTAACTAGTCTTCAGTTTCAGGCGTTCAGGAAGTCCCTAACAAACGTCCTCATCTATAGCCACGATCGCTCCCCAGCTCCAAGAATTACATATGGAATCATAGAGTGGCTAAGTCACAGCAGGAATTTGCACAGTTGGGCCCTCAAAGAATACGCACACTGCTATGATAGAGCTTAATGCATATATCAAAGATCGTGTCAGACCACCACCTTACAAACTGGTTCTAGAATACAATGTTGGGGGGCTTTCGCCACTTTTTGCCACATCAAAACAAATGTCACACAACACCATTAAGTTATATCTCCCGGGCATTCAACACCACATGTTTTCAGTTACAAACACCATGCTGAAATCGCCATATACTTGGCTTTCATGGTTTCCCACGACCAGAAATTTACCATCATAGGGCAACACAATTCCAAGCTTTGCCTACAGTATTCTAACCTGTACATCAACTAAGACCAGCCAGAGGGGTCACTAAACCACCAACGCATACCTCCACCGACACAGGAGTTAAGGAATGCATTTGTGTAATGTCACCGTAATACGCTAACTCCATGTCTTTTGTAATAAACATCTTTGATTATACTATATGGGTATTCCTTTTTGCCCACTTATTTACAGGCCTACCACACACGTCGGTTTCGGCACACCTCTACCGACTTTTTGTTATTGGGATAAGTATAATCACTAGCTATTTCATACTATACTGAAATGGCCCTGACCACAAATTGGAAGGCTGGGCCTGAAGTTGTGGGAGGGGCTATGTCCCTTTAAAAGGGACACCCCCTCATACCTAACTTACCTACTGGTTCAGACATACTTCTGGCCCACCATCCTATCCCTCTATTCAATACTCTATTCAATACTCTATTCAATACTATTTAAGGTAAGCCCACTTATTTACAGGCCTACCACACACGTCGGTTTCGGCACACCTCTACCGACTTTTTGTTATTGGGATAAGTATAATCCCTAGCTATTTCATACTATACTGAAATGGCCCCAACCACAAATATAGTATATATCTTGCATTTATATTAGACTACTGTATACTTCCAGGCAAACGCAGCTAACCACGTTTGTCTTTTGGCATTGTGACTAGCTTTTGTGTTTTCTTTCCTTTTTTATTAAATTGATTCACCTGATCAAAGTATAATTTTGCCTCTTTATAAAGCAATGGTAATACCGCTTCTTGAATATGTGGTGCAATTTTGGGAACCAGTTTTAAAGAAGGATATTGCAAAACTGGAAAAGTGCAGAGGTAATCAGCAAAATGAATAAGGGGGTAGAAAACATTAGTCATGAGAAAAGGCTAGAAAAACTGGATTTGTCTTCTGTAGCAAAAAGGTACCTCAGAAGGGATGTGATAGCACTAAATAAATATACATTGGGTCAGTGCAATCACTATGTGCTAACCTGTTCCTTAGAAGCAATTTACAACATACAAGAGGTCACCTTGAGGCTGCAATAAAGGTGTTTTCACTTAAGCAGAGTAAATGTTTTTTTTACAGTAAAAACAAAAAAAATATGTAATTCTCTACCTAAATAGGTTATGCTATCAGATTATATAGATAATTTTAAAAAGGCTTGGAAGCTTTTTTGCATACACAGAATATTTAAGGATATAATTAAGTGCTTAAACAGGTTGTTGATACAAGAAGAAATCTGATTGCCAATATTGATAATACAGATCAAGGAACAGTGCACACATTAAATTACATCTTTTAAATTACATAAGGCTACTTAAAATTACCTATCTTAGCAGACAAATATGGGGATGCAGTTCCACCGTATGGCTATATTGTGTTAAGCCCACAACTACTTCGCAGTACCCAAATATTGATGGTTCCTACAAACTAATTCAAACGTGGGAGACAAATGAAATAGTCTTAAATGCGCAAAAGTGTATTATAATAATCTATTGTAAGAGCATTGTGAATATATAATGCAAAAGCTTTAATAAACATCATTAAAAAAATGCAGTGTCAAAACCAAACAATTAAAGTAATAGTACTTTGATGTATATGCTCACAATGCATATATATCATACAGCCGCTCTATGAAATTTATAATTAAAGTGTATACATGTGCGATTCGTTTCGTTATGAATGGTAATTCGGACAAATTTCGGGCAATTCGGACATTCGGATACATCCGAATGTACGAATAGCTGAATTGCCGAATTGCCGAAGTTCCGAAGTTCCGAAATTGCCGAATTTCCGAAGTGTCGAAGTTCCGATGTGCCGAAGTTCCGAAGCACAGTATTGCCCAAGTGCTAACATACCTACCCAGTGGAAGAATGAAGAATGTTACACTGTATACAAGTTTAAATAAAAAGTATACAAACATAGCCAGGATTCAGCTGTAAGCATTTGCAACACTTACAACAATCAAGTAACACACATTCATATAAAATGTAAGTTACTTAGCCTGTCAATGGAATGACAGGAATGAATAAGTAGATAGCTACCTAATTCCCACGGTATTAGGGAGCTATCTACTAAAAGGTTGATAGACCTAAATTGGTCTTTCAGCCAAATTTACTAATACTAAGTAAAGATTACTTAGTATTAGTAAATTATGCCCCTACTCGCTATACCGCAAAACAAAAAAAAAATTCCTCCCCCTCGCCCCACCCCTGAATGGTGGGTGGGGGCCTTTAAGAAGAATAAGGGTGGGACCTATTGTCCTCCCCCCCAGCCCCCACCCCTAAGCAGTGGGTGGGGGCCCTAAATATCAATAGGGGGGGACTTATTGTCCTCCCCGGCCCCCACCACTGAGTGGTGGGTGGGGGCCCTAAATTAGAATAAGTGGGAGACTTATTGTCCTCCCCCCAGCCCCCACCCCTAAGCAGCGGGTGAGGGCCTTAAATTAGAATAAGGGAGGGAGGACCTATTGTCTTCCCCCCTGACCGCCACCCCTTAGCAGTGGGTGGGGGCCCTAAATGCCAATAAGGGGGGGACCTATTGTCCTCCCCCACGGCCCCCCCTGAGTGGTGGGTGGGGGCCCTAAATACCAATAAGGGGGAACCTATTGTCCTCCCCCCTGGCCCCCACCCCTGAGCAGTGGGTGGGGCCCTAAATTAGAACTAGAAAAGCTACAATTTCTGGGGAAATTGTGTGAAGTGTTCTTGCCTCCACCAGTAGTCTACAACCGGAGTGGGCGGAGTAACTGTTATCATTTATATAGCACATTTAATTGCAACGTTGTTGCACAGTTACATTAAACCATACATTTATAAAAACATTAGCAGGTGTTCAAAAGGCCCTGTCTATGACATCACTTGCTGCTGCAGCCTGCACAGGTCAGAGTATTTTGGCGGTTGCCATCTTCAAACGGTCGTATTTTAAAAACTATAAATCCTACAGCGAAGAGCTTTATATTGTGAGAATCACAAGACCCAGACCTACATTTTGATGCATAGTATGTCTCTGAAGTATTAAAAATGAAGGCACAGTCGCAGTTTAGAAATTGCACTTCAAATTTGAGCTTTGTAGAGTGAAGTTTCAATGAATGTCAATGGACGGCGTTAGTTGCAAACAAATGATTATATTGTGAAAACTATCAGGACTATGGCTTAGCCGTTGACATGTTTAGTGGCAGCAGGGATAGCTGAACGTTTTGATATAAGATTTGTGTAGGTGGGCCTGAAAATAAGGGAGTGGTGGCAGTTTAGAAATCATGTCCTGATTTTCAGCTTTTGCCAGCTCCCACTCTAGCTTTGCCATTCATTCCTATGGGACAAATTTCGCCACAAGAACGACGATATTCCGTGAACCATTCGGCGAAACGTTCCACAAAGTAATAGCAATCCGATCGGGAACAATCTGCACGTTTTGGTAAATTTTTGTCTATGTAGTATAAAAACTGTGGGAGGAGTTAGGGTGGCAAATTTGGCTATAATAAGAATAATAATGTATATGTGAGATAACAATAAGTGGTCTTGCTATGCAAGAACACTTAATAAGGGGGAGGACCTATTGTCAGTGGCGGGTGGGGTTCCTAAATAAAAATGTAACCCCCCAGGTGACTAAAGGTCCCCAAACCCCTAGTCAACCCCTCCCCAACAAAATAACCCCTACTTACCCCCCTCACCCTAAAAGTAATGAGGGGGGACCATAAACTAGATACCTGTAAAAAGAAAACTTACCATTCGATGTCTTCTTTCTTCTAAAATCTTATTTTTTCACCCCCAAAAAAGGCCAAATAAAAATCCATAATAACCGATGCAATTTGGAAAAAAAAAAAAACAGAAAAAAAATAATCCATCTTCACCCATGGAGGGCTCCGCGCAGACTGAGCTCTGCAGGGCGGGGGAAGGCTTTTGAAGCCTTGCCCGCCCTGCAATAAGGCTCAGAGCACTCTGGTTGGTTGGTTTAAGCCATCCAATCAGAGTGCTCTGACAGGTAAATGAAGAGACTGACAGGTAAGTCTCTACATTTACTTGTCACAGCACTCTGATTGGTTAGCTTAAAATCCAGCCAATCAGAGTGCTCTGTGTCATTTTACACAGTGTGGGAAAGTTCCAATCAGAGTGCTGTGACAGGTAAATGTCTCTTCATTTACCTGTCAGGGCACTCTGATTGTATGGCTTAAACCAACCAACCAACCAGAGTGCTCTGAGCCTAATTGCAGGATGGGGCAAGGCTTTATAAGATTTTCCCTGCCCTACAGATCTCAGTCTGCGCGGAGCCCTCCATGGGTGAAGATGTATTTCAATTTTTTTGCGCTCACGTTTTTTTTTAATTTTTTTTTTCAAAGTGCGTCGGTTATTATGGATTTTTGGCCTTTTTTGGGGGCTGAAATGAGAATAATTTATAAGAAAGAAGACATCAAATGGTAAGTTTTATTTTAATTTTTACAGGTATCTAGTTTATGGTGCCCCCTCATTATTTTTAGGGTGAGGGGAGTAGGTAGGGGTTATTTTTTTGGGGAGGGAGTGACTAGTGGTTTGGGGACCACTAGTCACCTGGGTGGAAGGTAAAATTTTTATTTATGGCCCCCACCTGCCGCTCAGGGGTGGGAGCCGGGAGGAGGACAATAGGTCCCCCCCTTATTCTAATTTAGGACAATAGGTCCCCCCCTTATTATAACTTAGGGCCCCTACCCACCGCTCAGGGATAGGTATTGAGGCATAGTTTAAAAAAGCTTAATTTACCAACTCTTAACTTAGAACAAAAATCTAAAATAGAATCTCCATTTAGTACTGAAGATGTTCAAAAAGCAATAGCCAGATTAAAAAATAATAAATATCCAGGACCAGATGGTTTTTCTAATCTATTTTATAAAAAAATATCAATGCTTATATCTCCACATCATTCTGATACATTTAATGAAATTAAACTGAAAAAAATCTTCCCTAACAAAATGTTACAAGCCAAAATAGTGCCCATCCCAAAAGAAGATAAAAGAGTTATGAACTACACCCTGTTCCAAATTATTATACAAATTATATTTTTCTCATTTACCTAAATATTGATGTAAATAACAGTCAGCATAATTCTCATCTTATCAACTATTAAGAGTACAATTTAAATTTTATAGAACAAACCTCCTAATGATAACAGTATTTTTTTAAATATAAAAAACTTACAATTCACTGTTCCAAATTATTACACACGGTAAGTTTAAAAACACTTTATAGGTTGTAAAGAACTGAAAATTGTCATTTGTTGTGTTTGCAGCATATTTACTGAAATCAAAAGCTATTTCAATCAAACTTATAACAACATTTTAACTTTGCAAACATTTCAACAGGTCACGTTACATTTTAACATAGGACCCCTTATTTGATAGCAGCTTCACAAGTCTTGCATCCACTGAACTTGTGAGTTTTTGGACAGTTTCTGCTTGAATTTGTTTGCAAGATGTCAGAATAGCCTCCCAGAGCTGCTGTTTGGATGTAAACTGCCTCCCACCCTCATAGATCTTTTGCTTGAGGATGCTCCAAAGTTTCTCAATAGGATTGAGGTCAGGGGAGGATGGAGGCCACACCATGACTTTCTCTCCTTTTAGCCCCATAGCAGCCATTGATGCAGAGGTATTCTTTGCAGCATGAGATGGTGCATTGTCATGCATGAAGATGATTTTATTACGGAAAGCATAGTTTTGTACCAGGGAAGAAAGTGGCCAGTCAGAAACTCTACATACTTTGCAGAGGTCATCTTTACACCTTCGGGAACCCTAAAGGGGCCGACCAGCTCTCTTCCCATGATTCCGGCCCAAAACATGACTCCACCGCCACCTTGCTGACATCGCAGCCTTGTTGGAACAGGGTGGCCGCCCACCAGCCATCCACTACTCCATCCATCTGGACCATCCAGGGTTGCACGGCACTCATCAGTGAACAGGACTGTTTGAAAATTAGTCTTCATGTATTTTTCTGCCCAATGCAGCCGTTTCTGATTGTGAGCATTGGTTAGTGGTGGCTGAATAGAAGGTTTATGCACAGTTGCAAGACTCTGGAAGACTCTACACCTTGATGTCCATAGGACTCCAAAGGCACCAGCAGCTTCAAATATCTGTTTGCTGCTATGTAATGGTATTTTAGCAGCTGCTCTCTTGATCTGATGCATGGATCTGGCAGGAATCTTCCTCAATGTGCCTTTATCTGCACAAACCCGTCTGTGCTCTGAATCAGCCACAAATCTCTTAATAGTGCGATGATCACGCTTACGTTTTTGTGAAATATCTAATGGTTTTATACCTCGTCCAAGGCATTGAACTATTTCACTCTTTTCGGCAGCAGAGAGATCGTTTTCTTCCCCATATTGTATGAAAATGGTGCTCTGCCTAATAATGTGGAACACCCTCCTTTAGTAGTTTTTCCTTAAATTGGGCTCCCCTGGCAATCTAATTATCACAGGTGCCCGAGATTGTTTTCAGTGATCAAAAGAGCCCTGAGACACAATGCCATCCATGAGTTAAACTGAAAAACAAAATATTTAATCTTTGTGACACTAGAATTTGGAACAGAGTGTCACGATTAGGGGAACCAAACACGCCAACAAACACACACACACAAAGTGCCGTACCGGACCTTAGAGTGGCCGGGCTAAGCACACAAAGAATAGTCAGGAAACAAGCCGAGTAAGGGGAACCAGAAGACAGAATAACGATAGACAAGCCGAGGTCAAAGGGTAGGAGAAAGTCACAAAGTCGGATAACAAGCCAGGGAGTACGTAACCAGAAGCACAAGTTCAGAATCAATACTAACAAGCAAAGACCACAACAGGGCGAAGAGGAACAGGAAAGGTAAGTATATAAATCCAAAGGTTAATTCTGATTGGATAATTTCCAATCAGAATTAACAATCACACGTGGGAGATATCTAAACCTCCCACTGTGATTGAGGCACTGTGCCTTTAACGCCGGGTCAGGTGACTGACCGCGGCGTTGGTTAAAGTGGGCGGTCTCCCAGCGTGCAGCGTCATGCATGCTGCCGCTGGGAGACACAGAGGAAGAGGCGGACGGCACCCGTGGGAGAGAGGGTGCCGCCCGCCGAGCACACGGCCGAAGGGGAACCGCGGACGGCTGGAGGGTGAGTGCCGCGAGCAGACTGCAGCCTCCCCTCGCAGCCGCCCTCAGGACCCTGACACAGAGTGTATAGGCCTATATCACTTATTAATTGTGACACAAAAATATCTTCTTCAATACTCGCTGAAATATTGAAAGGAATAATTCCACTTTTAATACATCAAAACCAAGTGGGATTTATACAAAATAGATATGCAAGCAATAACACCAGGAAAATCATAGATATAATAGGTTATATTGGGTCTAAAAGAATCCCCATGCTGGCCCTGTCATTAGACACTGAGAAAGCATTTGACAGGGTCAGCTGGGTTTTCTTACAAGAAGTATTAAAAGTTAAGAAATTTTATGATGGATGCAATAATTGCTATATATTCCTCACCAACTGCAATAATATCAGGTCAAGGATTTTCAACAAAAAGTTTTAAAATAAAAAATGGCACTCGTCAAGGCTGCCCATTAGCTCCAATGTTATATATCTTAACTTTAGAGCCTTTACTTCAAAAGATAAGACAAGACAAAAGGAGTGAAAATAAATAATCTAGAATGTAAATTATCTGCATATGCAGATGACATCATTTTAACAATTACATCTCCTAAAACATCGGTTAATACTCTGTTAGAAACCTTAGATGTATACGGGAAGATTTCTAATTATAAATTAAATATAGAAAAAACCCAAGCTGTAACATATATCATGGATCCTGAAAATGTGGCTTTACTAAAACAAACTTATGCCTTTCAATGGCCACAGGAAGGGTTAAAATACTTAGGCATAATGGTCCTTAAAAAATTAGTAAACTTGCGGAAGTCAACTTTGCACGTCTAATTAAAGAATTATCCCAGAAACTAAAGATCTGGAAAAAAAAACATCTGTTTCTTGGATGGGTAAAATAGATGTAATTAAATCACATATATTACCAGCCTGGTCCTATAACTTTAGGATGATCCCATTAGTAGCACCGTGTAAATATATAAAAAAGTTTCAAATACTTGTAGAAAGGTTTTTATGGGTCAATAAAAGACTGCATATATCTAGATATCATTTATATCGGGAAAAAAAATCAGGGAGGCATGAACTTTCCAGATATTTCTGGTTATTAACAACCAAATAGTCTTACTCAGGTTCATCAAATACAAATAACATCTAAAAAAAAATCAAGATTGGTAAAAAATAGAGCCACATTTAACAAAAGTTGATCATTTGGAAACTCTATTATGGTGTAAACAAACAGAACTAAACAAAATCTTCTTGAAAGCTGATTGTATAGTCTTGACACATATTTTGGGAGAATGTTCTCAATTTAAGAAGAAAGTGTGAATACTAGATAAATGCGCAATGACCACTCCATTAGAAACCTTGGAATGTAATATTATGGATTTTAAACTTCCACAGAGTCTCCAAATGAAAAAACTAAGAATTCAAGACTTATATCATTTAAAAAATTTAAAGCTCAAATCCAGCTACAACAAGAGTTTGGGTGTACAGTGAAAGAATACTTATCAATAATTAGAATTAAATATTATGTTAGATCTAATTTATTTGAGATTTCAGAAAAAAAATTTAAAGATCAATTCAAAAGATTGATGTACAATAATTTGAACAAAAAAATAGTGAAAGCATGGTATGACTTACTTGAATTCAGGTTACCCACAATAAAAGTTAAAGCCCTAGAGGCATGGGGAAGGGATATACCAATCCAAATAGATAAGGAACAATGGTGAGAAAGCTTGTCTCAAGTAGGAAAGATAACTCACTGTCTGTCATTACAGGAACTTCATTTCAAAGTAGTATACAGATGGCAAATTTAGAGCTAAAGAAAATCCCTTATGCTGGAGGTGTTAAAAACAGCTTGATAACTTGATACACATGTGGTGGTCCTGTGAAAAAAATTTAAAACACATGGCTAAAAATCTTCACTTTAATTTCAGAACTGACGGGCACATGGATTCCAATAATACCCGAAACCGCTCTTTTCCACTTTGGATTAAATAATCTGAGTCTTTCTAATAAGGCTCTAACAATACAAATATTACTCGCAATGAAAATAACAAAAGCAAGGCAATGGAAAAACCAAGGGGAAATAGAATGGTTAAGGATTAAAAATCAGATGTATCACCAATGCCTTACGGAAAAAGGATATTATTTAGCGAGACATAAAGTGTTCTTACAGAAAATCTGGGATAATTGGTTAGCTAAACAAATTTAAGGAAAGCTAAAGTATTCAGATATATGGAATTTCCCACTTTAAATTAAAAAAGGAGAAAAATGCGGGGGAAAAGGAAAGAGAAAATCAATCCTACATCCTAATCTTTATTAAGATTGAATAAACATGTTATTACAAAAAAAGTATACATGCTTAGAAGATTAGATCATCTATAATAATTAATACATGCTTAGAAGATTAGATCATCTATAATAATTAATACATTAATAATTAAGCATTCCTTTTCTAACCATTTAAATATTTTCAAAAGGAGGAATAAGACAGGGAAATAAGATGGTTAAAGCTTGATAGAAAATAGTGGGAGTGCCCAAAGAATATCTACAATGCCCTGAAGAAACGAAATTTGTCAGCTCTAATTATACCTGAAAATATACAATTTCAGAAAAAAAAAATTGAAAAAAGGGGGGTGGGGTTCCATGCCAAGTTAAAGTTGTTGTTTTGTTGTTCTGTCTCAACTGAATTATTTAAAAAGAAAGAGGAAAAGTACAAGGGAAAAGAGATAGAAAGAAAGAAAGAAAAAATAAAAGGAAAATTATTAAAGGAGGGAGAGAGAGTGTATAACTCGATATACTTTTATATATTCAACTTCAAAAAACTAAATAATCTGTTTATATTTTATGTGTAATGTCAAATAAAAAAAAATAAAAAAGAAGACTCTTAACTGACCTCAGTTTTCTTGCCTTTCAATTATATAAGCATTAGGATGTCGTGACGCCCCATTACAGAACTTCATTTCTTATGGGGACAAGTATGTATGTGTCACAGCCCAGGCTCGCCGCGAGGTGCGGTATCACCCGTCCGGCACGACCACACCAGCGAACTGAGCTTACCTGCTCAGTGGTGAGTCGGGAGCCGCTCCGCCGGCTTCTCCTGGCCGCCTGCCCTAAAGAAAAATGGCGCCGACCACTTACAGGCCATTTATAAGCCCGTCGACGCACATGCACGTTCTGGGGTCAGAGGTCACTCTCTGACCAATCACAGTCAAAGGAGGGATGTTTAAATCCCTGAAGCTACCCAGTTCATTGCCCTGTTGTGGTTTCCGTTCCTGGTTCCCGAAAGTGCCTTTTCTGTTTCTATAATTGCTATTCCCGGTATATTGACCTTGGCTATTCCTGACTATTCTGATTTCTGGTTTCCCTGACTTGGCTTGTTTAACAGTATTGTGTATTTCTGGCTTCCTTGATCTCGGCTATCCCTTGACCATTCTCTGTCTTTAACGTATTAGTCCGGCCATTCTAAGGCTGGTTTACGTTCTGTCTTTTTCCATTCTTTTTCTATGTAAATGTTACATAGTTCTGCGTGCTGGACCACACTAGCAGTCGTGACAGTATGGCATAGGGGAGGAGGGCACCCTCCCCTATCCCATATTGGATTTGTGTAATGTATTTGTAGTCCTATGTTACGGACCTCAAGTGTATGTGTTTAATGTGTTTAATGTCTTCTTTTGTGATGTGTGCGTTTGTGATGGGCGGAGCAATGGTAAAATAGAAAGTAAATTGATGGATGGAGGGATTGGTTAAGATAATGACACTGAATGTGCAGGGTTTAAATCCCCCCCCCCCCAAACAAGCTATGTTTAATGAATAATTATATAGGGAGCACGTGGATATTTGTTGTATTCAAGAAACTCATAGGAAGGGATGTGATTTTCCGACTAAATAATAAAAAATACACTGTTATAGAACATTCATCCCTAAGGAGGGGGAAAAATGTGGTGTAGCCATTCTTGCCTCAAATAACATAAAAAATTGAGAATATATATAAACAGAGTGATGAGATGGGTAGATTCTCTTTTGTAGTTTGTAAAATCAACGATAGAATATATTCTATATTAAATATATATGCTCCAAATACAAAGCAAATACATTTTCTGAATAAAATCCTATAAAAAGTAAATGTACTTGTTAATGGAACCTTTATATGCTGCAGTGATTTTAACTGCATTGCAGACTGTAATTTGGATTTGCATAATATAAGGAATCGTGAATAGAGTAATAGACAGGTTAGTCTCGCAAAAGCCTTTCAAGACACACTGGGTCACTATGAATTATTTGATAAATGGAGAACTATCAGACCAATGGATAAGGAATATACTTTTTATTCAAATAGACATCAATCTTTCTCAAGAATTGACATGATACTAAGAAAAGCAGGATAAATTTAAGACTGTAAAAAAATAGAAATTAAAAATGTGGTATGGTCAGATCATGGCTGAAAGCCAAAAACTAAATGTATATATGTAGCCCAAATTCCTACGAGAAGCAAAAGCGGTAAAACATACTCGGGATCCGAGACTATGTAAATCAGGGTCAGGGGCACTTGGCGATCCAGAGACTTTATACTTATATTCACTTTATCTTTCATTAAGAATTGATTTACATAGTCTCGGATCCCAAGTATGTTTTACCGCTTTTGCTTCTTGTAGGAATTTGGGCTACATATATACATTTAGTTTTTGGCTTTCAGCCATTTCTCTAGTCAGATTGAATTAACAAGTTCGGAATGGATAGCCCTTTTTTTTCCCACAGCAATAACAGTTTCACATTATCCACAGAGGCTGCATTCTGTGTTTCCTACAGCAGCGCTTATTATAGCTGATGATCATACACCAAGCGTTCTGGCAGATATATTTTATGTGTTTTGAATACATCGTTGAACATATACTATTCAGATAAAGGTTCTTGTAACCTTTTTGAACAGCCCCCTTTTTTATTTATATTAGCCAGTTCACTTCTGTTACTGTTTTATTAGGGAAGCCAGAACTTACATTTTTTTCTTCTAGCCGTTGCAGAATTGTTAAATTGTGGTCTATTATAGATGGGTTACATTATTACACTGAGATAACCATTGTATCACCTGCATAGTAAGTGCTACTTGATTTGGCCCCTGAGGATTGCAAAATTTTGTTTTGCACACTCTATTGGGTGAAGGTTTCTGAAAACTTTTGAACAGAACCTTCCAATGACTATATACATTTTAGTCACTACTAGTTAATTTCTCTGCACCATTTGTGTTCAGAACTTCAAACTTGGAATATTTACACTTGAGTTATTAACATAGTTCACTGTTTTGTATATACTTTGGTTTATTGTTTGTATTTTATTTTTTACTAATACATTTATTAGGTCCCAGGATATTACACTGCACTTTAATCGTTAAAAAAAATTTAATTTTTTTTTTTTATGTATTATTATGTATACACATTTATGTAGCTAGTGGTAATCACTAGCTATTGTAGTCTGTGAAACGATTCAGTGCAGATATTACCAGATAAGGTTTTGTAACAGTTTAAAATAGGATCTATATCAGCCCTATACTTCTTTAAAGAGTCTTTAGGGTTCCCCAACATATTCTCAGACTGACAAGTTACCAATTAGAGAATATAAATACATTGATTAACTATTATACTTTTGAATATTAGAATGTATATACTTTAGTTTATTATCATTCCTGGGAATATCATTCCTATTAAGAAAACTCACACTAGATTTTAGTATTACTATTAAAAGTTATATTTTAATAAGTTAGGATACTCATTTCTTCTTTTGTTTATCTAATAGAATATATATGCTATAATAAAATACCATCTATATTTATCTCCTTAGATGCGGAAAAGGTCTTTGACAGAGTCAGTTGGAACTTTTTAGAAGAAGTACTCAGAAATTCTGGATTTGGAGAGGTCTTTACTGGCTCTGTCAGGGTCCTATATACCAACCCAACTGCATAAGTTATTGGACAGGATTTGAGATCAGAATGGTTTTAGTATACATAATGGAACCCGACAGGGTTGTCCCCTTGCTCCTATGCTATATATTCTAACATTAGAACATTTTGCTGCAAGGATAAGACATAATCTATATATTATAGGTATTAAGATAGGGGACCTGGAAAGCAAACTTAGAAATTGTATGTCCAAGGATGGTATTAAAACTCCAATACAGATTCTTAATGAATATGCACTTAAAGAGTCGGGATATTTTAACTCACTCAGATTGTGGCATTAATTAAAGTCTCATATATATAATAGCAATAGAAATAAAATGGCCCGGGGGGCGGAGCTAGCGCCCAGCGAGATCGGACGCACGACTGCAGCTCTCCCGGTCGGGTAACACTACCGGCTTAAATACTGCCGACATCAAGCCTCACACGACCCGGCCGACGGTCGGAAAGAGAAGCCACACAGATGGGGAGGAAAAATAAAAAAACGCGGGCGGATCAGCCGCGGTTTACAGCGGACATAGGAGACCTGCTGAGGAGACCGCATGGCGCGGCCGGATCCAATATGGCGGCTGAATACGACGACTTCACTGACAGCTCAGAAGAGGTCCCTTTACACAGCCCAGGTACGCTAGGGTATAAAGGGCCCCCCAAACCTCCACAGCAGACAGCAGGCTCCTCTCACCCGGTCACCACGGAGGTAATTACTAACCTCCTCACGGACCTCCGCCAAACGCTCTCCACTGAAATAACCCAGGTGAGGGAAGACATCAGGGGGTTCACTGCCCGCCTTACTGCAGTGGAACAGACCTCCCAAACAACCTCAACACAGGTCCTGGCACTACAGAGGCAGGTCACCGACCTGACAGCTGCTCACACTACTCTCACCCACCAATTAGCAGCTATGGAAGATAAACGATGGTGGAAACATGTAAAAATCAGGGGCCTCTCTGATGGAGTTCTCCCAGCAGGATTGCCTCACTTTCTGCGAAGGCTATTCACGGCCCTCTTATCCCCTAGGCAAGCCAAAGGAATACAACTAGATGGGATGTTCCGCCTGCCCAAACCATCAATATCCTCAAGCGCAACTACCAGCGACCTACTGATTAAGTTCCAAAACGGTCAAGACAGAGCAGCCTTCATGAGTGCCACCAGGGGGAAAAACCCCTATAGATTTGAAGATATGGAACTGTCGTTTTACTCTGACCTCTCCCGCAATACTCTGCTCTGGAGGAAATCCCTCCGTCCGCTGACGACTACGCTGGCAGCTAGGGGAGTGAAGTACCGCTGGGGACCTATGCATGTACTCCTCATTCAGTACCAAGACACTGAATATAAGGTGGCGGACATTTCGGAAATGGACACTGTCCTAGCGGCCCTGGGCCTCACAGCACCATTCCCCTCTACAACCTGGGACCCAGCGAAAACTGTCCCGTTCATCCCCGCTTCAGAGGGAGGACCTGGGAGGGAGAACACTGACTCATAAGCCTATACATTCTTTATATGTTACTACTCTCTATGTTGGGCTTAGCCCTCTGTTAAATGTTGACTATGTGACAAACGTTTAGAACACTACACAAAGTTGTAACACAACTACACACAGAGGCCAAACACGGCCAACACTGTGAATTACCCCGGACACACTGGCTCCTTTTTAATAACTACCCCCCCCCCAGCTCCCATCATATGCATCCATCATACACACTCCACGGAGGAGCTGTACATGCACGCATTCGGACGCAAATCAACCAACCCAACCAAACACCACGCTCACTACAACAAGAGCCATGTATTCACCCTCTATTAAGAACTACATACTGGAGCTACCAACATGGCTTAAGGCTCTACCTTACATACACACAGAGGTACACGACTCAACCACCTACAACCCACACACCACTCATAAGAGTACAGTCCCAGCACACCGGGGTCAACCGACCAATTCATCTCTGAGCCATCTGACATATACTCTACATAAATCGCAACACAGTACCTATACTACAATACTCTGCCTACTACTCTTCTCATATATATATAAAAATGTGCAAAGTTATTCCTGCCATACAATTGTATTTACATGTCTACCCAAACCCTGGCGATAGCTGTTGTGGCATCGCTAGAAAACTGTTACATGTATAATCTATGCACGAAAAATAAAGAATTAAAAAAAAAAAAAAAAGAAATAAAATGGCCCATAAGATTCTAAATATTTTTAATAATGCGTTTGTGAAAAAAGAAATGGCAAGATGGTATAGATATAGAATATTAGAAGATATGGATGAAACATTCAATTTAAAACCTTATGAGAGTTGGTAAAGGGAACTGGAATACCGTTTAAATCTAGAAGAATGGATCAATAGCTTAGTCGGAGTTAATAAAATTACTCATTGTTTAAATATGGTTGAGTTACATTATAAGATTATGTAGGAATATCTAAAAATGATGTAGATTAAAAATGTCTTAATACAGGGCTTCTAATGTTTTGGGACACATGTCCTTAAAACAATTCCAAGTCAGAAGTATGTAAATATAATTTACTGCAGATTTAGATATAAACATACTATTAAAAACATAATAATGGTAGTAAAATTTCATTAAATGAATACATATTTTGTACAAATACAAAAAAACATAAAAATAATAAAATACTATAAGTGCAGACAACTAAAAAAATGCACATATGTTTTATAAATCCTTAAAATATTTATAAAATATTGGACAGTTTTAAATTAGCATTTGAAGCAAAAGGAGCTAACATTTTTAAATTATAAATCCCAAAACAATTCTTGATTAGTTAATTTTTTAACTAAATCTCCTCCCCTCCAAGGTGTGTTCACTAATTGTATACCACAGTATTTAAGGGTTTTGGGATCGCTGTCATGGAACTCCATAAAGTGCATTGATAGAGTGTGGATGTTGTTAGTTTTATTTTAAATTCTAATTGCCATTATGCCCCATGGCTGAATAATGTACCCTTAGGACAATTCCAAAGAATTAAGAAAAATTGTACAGATGGGGATAAAATAATATATGTGCATTTTTGTTAGTTGTCTGCACTTATAGTATTTTATTATTTATTTTTGTATTTGTACAAAATATGTATTCCTTTAATGAAATTTGACTACCATTATTATGTTTTTAATATTATGTTTATATCTGAATCTGTAGTAAATTATATTTACACATATAAGGAAGAATACATATTTCTGACTTGGAATCGTTTTAAGGACATGTGTCCCAATACATTAGAAGCCCAGTATTGACTTTTTTAACCCCTTAGTGACCCGGCCGTTTTTCAATTTTCTTACCGTTTGGGACCAGGGCTCTTTTTACATTTCTGCGGTGTTTGTGTTTAGCTGTAATATTTCTCTTACTCATTTACTGTATCCACACATATTATATACCGGTTTTCTCGCCATAAAATGGTCTTTCTAAAGATACCATTATTTTCATCATATCATATAATTTACTAGAAAACAAAAAGTAAGATTTGATGAAATTTTTTTATTTATTTTTTAAACACACTTTTTCGAAATTTAGGCATGGATTCTCAACTCCTGTTAGGTGTTACTGCCAAAGAACCCTCCAGTATGTGTTAAGCAACATTTCCTGAGTACAGTGATACCACCCATGTACAGGTGTGTCAGGTTCTCTGGGGGCTAAAATACCTTATTTGGAGGGTGCGCATTCCAGTTTTCCAACTTGGAATTTTCACAGCTAGCCATCATGCACTCATGTCCCATTTGGGACAATTTTGAGGCCGGCCAATGTAATTTACCCCATCAAACCATATGTTTTTGAAAAGTAGACACCCTAGGGTATTTCAAATGGTGGTATTTTAACACTTTCCATGCACTAATTCTACCACTAGTCTCTGTCAAACCTTTAGGTAGTCATTTTTTTGTGTTAATTTTCACACACATTCTACTTTAGGCATAGATTCTCAGCTCCTGTTAGGTGTTACTGCCAAAGAACACCCCAATATGCGTTCATATATAGGTTTTTTGGGTTGTTTGGGGGGTGCAAAGCCAAACGTCTGACATGTGTTTTTCAAATTTTACATTTCTTTGCCTATCTTCTTTTTGGGGGCCTTTTCAGATATCCCAATTTATTTTCTTGCCATGAGCGTGCATATATTTCAAAAGTTGACACCCCACAGTATTGTATATGGAGTGTTTTCATGCCTTTGATGCAATCGTATTAGTCAAAAAATTGGAGAAAGTGTGTGGTGGTAATTGTTCAATTTTCATTTTTACACACACATTGCTTTTTGACTGTGATTTAGGAGAGCCCGTTGTTGGTTATTGCAAGAAAACACCCCAGTTTGTTTTTTGCAAGGCCTCCTGAGTACACCCATGCCCCCCATGCATAGGTTTGCCTGGATTTTGGAAAGGTACAGTTACAATTGTATAACTTGCAATTTGAGTTGAAATTGAGAATATTTATTCTGATAGGCATATCTTTAGCTTGGGGCTTATCACATATCCCAGTTTTATTTATTGCCATGAAAGTGTATATATTTGAAACGTAGACACCCGAGGTATTGTATATGGAATGCTTTGATGCAACTGTTTTAGCCCAAAAAAATTTAAGAAAGTGTGTGGTGGTAATTGTTCAATTTTCATTTTTACACACACATTGCATTTTGAATGTGATTTAGGAGAGCCTGTTGTTCGTTATTGCAAGAAAACACTCCAGGTTGTTTTCTGCAAGGCCTCCTTAATACACACATGCCTCCCATGCATAGGGTAAATGTTAAAAAAAACAAAAAAAACTGAAAGGCAAATGTTATAGACAATTACAAATGGACCAGTGTGTGGTATCGCTTGAAGCAGTCCCCAATGCAGAGTCCAGGCTGTCCAGGGCAATCAGGACAGTGATATACAGCATATTTTCTCTGTCCCCTCTTAAAACAGACTCTGCATCTTTTTGGGGGATTTTAAAAATAAAATGTGTAGCCCCAACTCTGCTCTCTCCCATCACCGCCCGGGGAGCAGGTGCATCACGGTACAAAATCCCTGAAAGGATCTGGAGCTGAAACTGTAAAAAGCTCAGTTACATCCCGGGGTTTGCTTTTTTGAACAACAAAAAAGGATTGTGGTTTGCAATCTGCATTATGTAGATTGCAACCTTTTTGTACCAGGCCCTTGTCTTTCGTATAATTAGGTAGGGCTGTAGCAGCTGATCTGCCAGATCAACCCCACCCATATGCCGGTTATAGGTCTTGATGCACACTGGCTTCCTTGTGCTCTCAGCTCTGCCACGTACAGAGACCTACATAGTCCCCTCAGTGTGGATGGTGGTAAAAAGTACACATACTTCTTGTCTCGGTACTTAACTGCCAACAGCTCCTCCTATGAAAACATTACAGTAGCTTGAACAAAGGGACACGTGTATAAAAATTGTCAGTATACAAATGGTACCCTTTGTTCATCAGGGGGAATATCAGATCCCAGACAATCTTGCCACTGGTTCCCATATGTTCTGGGAAACATGGAGGGTCAAGGTGGCTATCCTTTCCCTCGTACACCCGGAAGGCCTGAGTATACCCAGTCTCGCTATAACAGAGCTTATACATCTTTACACCATACCTAGAGCGATTGGAAGGAACTTGAATCCCAGCCGCTTGAATCCCAGCCTTCCTTTATACTTCATCAGGGATTCATCCACGCATATATTCCTTCCAGGTTGATAAGCCTCTGCAAACCTGGCATCAAAGTGGGTAATCAGGGCATGGATTTTATACAGCCTGTCAAACTGGGCATGCTCCCTAGGGGGGACAGGCTGTTGTCGCTGAAGTGCCTGAAATGCAGAATGGGGGTAGAGCAGATGGGGCTACTGCTCCATTAGGAGCGGATGGAGGGCTTCTTTATGATGCCCATCAGCATAATTAATGCCCAGAATTTTTTACATTCTGGCACATCGATGGGGGCCCATTGCTGCTTTGCCAAAAAAGAGTCAGGCTTTGCAGCACGGAACTGATCGGCATATAAATTAGTTTGGGCGACAATGTTCCCCAATACATTATCACCCAGAAACCCCTCCATAAACTGCTGAGGGCTACATCCTGCGACATCCAAATTGATGTCAGGATTTGCAGTAAAGGGTGAGATGTCTGGCCTCTGGCGATGAGGCACTACCCATTCCTCAGCGAAGAGCTTTATATTGTGAGAATCACAAGACACAGACCTACATTTTGATGTATATCTCTGAAGTATTAAAAATGAAGGCACAGTCGCAGTTTAGAAATTGCACTTCAAATTTGAGCTTTGTAGAGTGAAGTTTCAATGAATGTCAATGGACGGCGTTAGTTGCAAACAAATGATTATATTGTGAAAACTATCAGGACTATGGCTTAGCCGTTGACATGTTTAGTGGCAGCAGGGATAGCTGAACGTTTTGATATAAGATTTGTGTAGGTGGGCCTGAAAATAAGGGAGTGGTGGCAGTTTAGAAATCATGTCCTGATTTTTCAGCTTTTGCCAGCTCCCACTCTAGCTTTGCCATTCATTCCTATGGGACAAATTTCGCCACAAGAACGACGATATTCCGTGAACCATTCGGCGAAACGTTCCACAAAGTAATAGCAATCCGATCGGGAACAATCTGCACGTTTTGGTAAATTTTTGTCTATGTAGTGTAAAAACTGTGGGAGGAGTTAGGGTGGCAAATTTGGCTATAATAAGAATAAGAATAAGAATATATATGTGAGATAACATTAAGTGGTCTTGCTATGCAAGAACACTTAATTACACTTGCAATGTTAAGGGTAGTGGGAGTTGGCACCCAGACCACTCCAATGGGCAGAAGTGGTCTGGGTGCCTGGAGTATCCCTTTAAACTCCTTTACTGTGTTAACCGCTACCACTTCAGCTGGAAGGCTATTCCATGCATCCACTACCCTCTCAGTAAAGTAATACTTCCTGGTATTATTTTTAAACCTTTGCCCCTCTAATTTAAGACTATGTCCTCTTGTTGTTGTAGTTTTTCTTCTTTTAAATATAGTCTCCTCCTTTACTGTTTTGATTCCCTTTAGGTATTTAAAGGTTTCTATCATATCCCCGTCTCGTCTTTCCTCCAAGCATGTTAAGTTCATTAAACCTTTCCTTGTAAGTTTTATCCTGCAATCCATGAACCCGTTTAGTAGCCCCTCTCTGAACTCTCTCTAAAGTATCAATATCCTTCTGGAGATATGGTCTCCAGTACTGCGTACAATACTCCAAGTGAGGTCTCACCAGTGTTCTGTACAATGGCATGAGCACTTCCCTCTTTCTACTGCTAATACCTCTCCCTATACAACCAAGCATTCTGCTAGCATTTCCTGCTGCTCTATTACATTGTCTGCCTACCTTTAAGTCATCAGAATAATCACCCCTAAATCCCTTTCCTCAGATGTTGAGGTTAGGACTCTATCAAATATTCCATACTCAGCCCTTGGGTTTTTATGTCCAAGATGCATTATCTTGCACTTATCCACATTAAATGTCAGTTGCCACAGCTCTGACCATTTTCTAGGTTACCTAAATCATTTGCCATTTGGCTTATCCCTCCTGGAACATCAACCCTGTTACATATCTTAGTATCATCAGCAAAAAGACATATCTTACCATCAAGACCTTCTGCAATATCACTAATAAAAATATTAAAGAGAATGGGTCCAAGTACAGATCCCTGAGGTACCCCACTGGTGACAAGCCCATGCTTCGAATATACTCCATTGACGACAACCATCTGTTGCCTGTCACTCAGCCACTGCCTTACCCATTCAACAAAATTGGAATCCAAACTTAAAGATTGCAATTTATTGATAAGCCTTCTCTGTGCAACAGTGTCAAAAGCCTTACTGAAATCTAGGTAAGCAATGTCTACTGCACCACCCTGATCTATAGTTTTAGTTACCCAATCAAAAAAATCAATAAGATTAGCTTGGCATGATCTCCCTGAAGTAAACCCATGCTGTCTCTGATCTTGAAATCCATGTGATTTTAGATGTTCAACAATCCTATCCTTTAACATGGATTCCATTACTTTCCCCACTACTGCCCAACTCCTCCCTACTACCTTTCTTGCGAATGGGCAAAACATTTGCTAACTATCAATCTTCTGGGACTACTCCTGTTAGCAATGATTGGTTAAATAAATCTGTTAATGGTTTTGCTAGTACACCACTAAGCTCTTTTAATAGCTTTGGGTGTATTCCATCAGGTCACATTGACTTATTTGTCTTTACTTTTGACAGTTGAAATAGAACCTCTTCCTCTGTAAACTCACGTGTAATAAATGATTCATTTATCCTTTTTCCTAACTGAGGCCCCTTTCCTTCATTTTCATCTGTAAATACAGAACAAAAATATTCATTGAGGCAGTCAACTAGACCTTTATACTCTTCTACATACCTTCCTTCTTTTGTTTTTAATCTAACTAATCCTTGTTTTACTTTCCTTTTCTCAACTATGTATATAAAAAATGTTTTGTCCCCTCTTTTTACTGACTGTGCTATTTTCTCTTCTGTGTGTGATTTGGAATCTCTTATAACTTGCTTAGCCTCTTTCTGCCTAATCTTATAGATCATTTTGTCTTCCTCACTCTGGTTTTTTTTATAGTTACTAAATGCTAACTTTTGTTGTTTTTTTTACTATTTTGGCCACATCTGCAGAGTACCACAGTGGTTTCTTGAATTGTTTGCTGTTACTGAAAAGCCTAATGCAATGTTCTGTTGCCTTCAGCAGTGCAACTTTTAAATAATCCCATTTCTCTTGGACTCCATTTAAATTGCTCCAATCTGATAATGACTCCTTTACACATATTCTAATTTTAGAAAAGTATGTTTTTCTAAAGTCTAAAACCTTTGTTTTTGTGTGGTGTGACTCAGTCACTGTTCTTATATTAAGCCACACTGACTGATGATCACTGGATCCTAAACTTTCACCTACAGTAATATCTGATACCAAATCTCCATTTGTTAACACTAAATCTAGTATGGTCTCTTTACGAATTGGCTCCTCAACGACTTGTTTTAGAGACAATTCCAGTAGGGAGTTTAGAATATGTGTGCTCCTGTCACAAGCAGCTATTTTGGTTTTCCAATTCACATCAGAAAGATTAAAGTCACCCATGATAATAACTTCCCCCTTCATTGTCATTTTAGCTATTTCCTTAACTAGTAGATTATCTAACTCTTCTATTTTTTCCTGGGGGCCTTTAAATCACACCTACATGAGTTACTGTGTGATTACCACATTCTAACGTAACCCAAACGGACTCTATGTTCGCCTCACTTACTTTTATTAGGCTAGCTTTTATGCTATCCTTCACATACACATTACATTTTAACCATATTTCATACACTGAACCCCTATCGCACAATCCCATAGGAGTGAGGAGGGTAGAGAGATGCGGGGGTGGTATCTCAAGAGACTAAATAGAGATTGATATATCACCATTCAGGGAAATCTCTCAGCTTTAATTTTAAGGTATATAACTTAAGCTTCTCGGATAAAGTTGTTCCGTATACTCCATCCATATTTAGTTATGGGCAGGTGCTCTCTCTCCATCTTTAATTGGAAGGAGATTTGTGTTTATAATATTGCCCATGTTGGGGACTCTACTTCCAAAATTTAACAATAAATTTTTTTGCTGCTATCAGAATATGAGTAGCTATGTATCCATCTTTTTGCGACAATTTAATTCCAAATAGGGCAATTTTGGGAGAAAAAAATTAAATGAGCACCCGTACGATTTTCTAATATATTATATGTTAATTCCCAAAAGGGTTTTAATTTCTGGCAATTCCACCAGATATGAATAGAGGAACCTTCTAAATGGTTGCATCGCCAGCAAAGAGAAGAATATGTGGGGATAATCTTATTAATTTTCTTTGGATCCAAAAGCCATTTAGTTAATATCTTATATTGTAACTCTATAAGATTGAGGCAATGTATTGATTTCTTGACTTTTGGTATAATCTTATACCAGTCTGAAATTTAAATCTCTATTTCAAGATCGCTTTTCCATTTATTTATAATGCTGTTAACTGGGTTTTCTCTAGATGGATCTTTATCATCGAAAATAGGGCTTTTCATTAAAGTTCTAACATTTTCTCCATATTTAAACGAGGAATCTAGTCCTATGATTTCATTATCTTTTTTACATGTAAAATTTCTCAGAAAGATTTTAATTATGAGATAGGAGAAAACTTCTTTTGGGGGAAGATGGAATTCAAGAGCTATTTCATGAAAAGATTTAATATGAGAGCAATTTAAGATATCAATTAAGGCATTTATACCATTATTTTTCCATGTAGATAAATTAATTTCTTGTGTTCTATCTTGACCCTGGACCAGAACTTTAGAATTTGATAAGTAAAATAGTTTTTCCCACCTTTATTGTCTAAAATTCTGTCAGTACCCAATCTTATATGATCAATCCACAATATAAGAAAGATCAGAAATTTCCAGCATGAATTTCTCAATATCATACCATGATATTGGGGATGGCTAGTCCACATTTATCTATGTTTTTCTCTAATATCTCCCATTTTATTCTTGGCTTTTTTCCTTTAGATACATAGTCAGAGAATATTCTCTGTATTTTCAGAATATTCGATCTATATAGGCATGTGGGAAGAGATAATTCCAAACTGGAAGTTCATAAGATTTTATGACGTTAATTCGTCCCAGCCATGACAGTTCCAAAGACTTCCAATTGGTTTTGATTACATTTTTTGCCTGAGAGGTAAGAATTATGCCTAGATACTCAATACTTTCAGTTTAGAATTTAAAGGTATATTCCCTCTTTAAAATATATATGGAGTCCGTATCTAAATTCCAGCTCATAATAGTTGGTTTGGATGTATTAGGTTGTGATTTGACATATTACCAAATATTTCTAATTCTTTCAGGATATGTTTAATAGACTTTTCAGGGTCTGTAAGTGTCATTATGACATCATCGGCATACAGACTTAATTTTGACTCTCTGTATTCATATTGAATTCCCTTGATGTTTTTATTCATTCTAATATATTGGGATAAGGGCTCTAAAGTGAGGATATATATAGCATGAGGGAAAAGGGCCATCCCTCCCTAGTTCCATTTCGAACTTTAAAGTAATACTCAATCCTATTATCCTAGCTGAAGGATTGGTATAGAGAGCAGATATTGCCTGTAGGATCCATCCATTAAAGCCTCTATTAATTAAAGGATCACAAAAGGGTCAGGACAGGGCCAGATTAAGAGCCCGGTGGGCCTGGTGCTGACAGTTATGATGGGGCTTAACTACAGAATTGTATCTACCAAAAACACTAAAACAGTCATACCTCTCAAGCGTCATGTATCTGATGGAGTTGGTGTTGGAGGGAAACTCAAAGGATACAGCTATAAGAAAATACATACTCTATGCTAATCTCTAATTTATGCTTTCATTTTTCAAGTAAATACATACCCCCTAAAAGCAGTGTCCAGTGAAGCAGGAAGTCAATGGGTGAGGTAAAAGGGTGGGCCACTAATGCAATCAAGTGACCAGAACTGCCAAAAGGGGCAAACATGCCCAAAAAGGGGGCATGTCTGTCCAAAGAATTGGAAGGCCAGCCTGGCATCAGTGTCCCCATGTCGCCCAGTCCCCTTGTCTCCCAGTTACTGTGTCCCCATTTCTCCCAGTGTCCCTTTGTCTCAGTGTTTCCTGTGTCACTAGGATACTAGGGGACACTGAGAGACATGGGGACACAGTGAGAAATGGGGACACTGAGAGACCCGGGGACACTGAGACACTTGGGGACACTGGGAGACATGAGGGCTCTGAGACACTTGGGGACACTGGGAGACATGGGGGTAATTGTGGATAAAGACATGGGGACACTGGGAGACATGGGGACACTGAGACATTTCTGGACACTGAGAGAATTGGGTTTACAGAAACTAGGGAGACAGAGACATGGGGACACAGACACTGGGAGACATGGGGACACAGACATTTGGTGAAACTAAGACCCTAGGGACACTGAGAGACATGGAAACACAGACACTGGGAGACTATGGGACACTGGGAGACATTGGGACACTGAGAGATCCGGGGACACTGAGACACTTGGGGACACTGGGAGACATCGGGGCACTGAGACAATTGGGGACACTGGGAGACATTGGGGCACTTGTGGATAAAGACATGGGGACAGTGGGAGACATGCGGGCACTGAGACATTTGTGGACACTGGGAGAAATGGGGTCACAGACACTAGGGAGACAGAGACATGGGGACACAGACACTGGGAGACATGGGAACACAGACATTTGGGGAAACTAAGACACTTGTGACACTGAGAGACATAGGAACACAAACACTGGGAGACTAGGGGACACTGGGAGACATGGGGACACTGAGGCACTAGGGACACTGGCTGGGAGGCATGGGGACACAGACACTTGGGGACACTGGGAGACATTGGGCACTTGTGGACATAGACATGGGGACACTGAGACATTTGGGGACACTGGGAGACATGGGGACACTAGGGACACAGAGACATAGGGACACAGACACTGGGAGACATGGGGACACTGAGACACTAGGGACACTGGCTGGGAGCCATGGGGACACTGGGAGACATGGAGACACTGTGTCCCTAGTGTCTCCATGTCCCAATGTGTCTACCTATGTCTCACAGTGTCCCCATGTGTCTCAGCGTCCCCATGTTTCACAGTGTCCCCTAGTGTCTCCCTGTCCCAATGTGTCTACCTATGTCTCACAGTGTCCCCATGTGTCTCAGAGTCCCCTTGTCTCACAGTGTCCCCTAGTGTCTCAGTGTCCCCATGTTTCCCAGTGTCCCCAAGTGTCTGTGTCCCCACGTCTCCCAGTGTCCACTAGTGTCTCAGTGTCACCATGTGTCCCCTAGTGTCCCCATGTCTCCCTGCTGCCCCCCCCTCTTTCACATACCTGAGCTGTAGTCTGTCTCTGCAGGCTGGGAGCTGCTGTTTGGACTCTCTGTGCTGTGTTGCTGCTCCCCTGCGCATCAGTGATTAGAGAGAGGCAGATGCTGTAACTTCCTATCCCTGCCTCTTTCCATACACAGTGACTGCTACTGACCGGTGCGGGTATTGCAGAGTAATCCCTGTTTATACTGAGAAAAATATTTGCATTTGTATTGCCGGTATTACTGCAATACTGGCACGGCCAGGCAGCCTCAAATACCAGCTGTGCCTTAAAATACCAGGCAGGTGGCAAATAATTTTTTTTTTATAAATAAAATAATATATATATATATTTTTTTTTTTTAAATGGGCCTATTCCATGGGCATGGGCCTGGAGCTGCAGCTCCATTAGCCCCTATGTTAATCCGGCCTTGGGTCAGGAATACCCTATAGTGTTAAAACCACCATCTAGCCCCCCTGGGCCACTCATGCCTCCAAAAATATAGCAACATCTTACTGTATTCAAGCCTGAAGCTGTAGATCTGCAAGCTGTTTGCCTCAAAAAAACAACAACCAGTCTGCTTACATCATCAGAAGTGATAGTCTAATCCAAACACAATGCTTTCCTATGGTATTGGCTGAGACTGACAAGGAGGCAGATCAGGGGCAGAGCCAGCATTATTCAAACACAGCCCTGGCCAATCAGCATCTCCTCATAGAGATGAATTGAATTAATGAATCTCTATGAGGAAAGTTCAGTGTCTGCATACAGAGGGAGGAGACACTGAATGTTTGGATGCATTTTAGGCAGCCATGACCCAGGAAGGATCTCTAACAACCATCTGAGGATTGGCCAGTGAAGTTATCACTAGGCTGTAATATAAACACTGCATTTTCTCTGAAAAGACAGTGTTTACAGCAAAAAGCCTGAAGGGAATGATTCTACTCACCAGAACAAATTCAATAAGCTGTAGTTGTTCTGGTTACTATAGTGTCCCTTTAATGTTTGAAGCATAAAAGTCAAGCTTTATCAAAGGCTTTATTCGTATCAAGCAAAAGTAAGATAGTCTGATCGGTTCTTCTGTTAGTTAAAACTATCAAGTCTGCTACTCTACGAATGTTGTCAGAAAGGTAACTTCCCGTTACAAAGCCTGTTTGCTCGGGATGGATTAAAGATGGAATTATAGGTTTCAATCTTGCTGCTATAATGGCAGAATATAATTTTATATCAGCATTGATGAGTGAAATAGGGTGGTAATTTGCAATCTGTGATGGGTCTTTATTATTTTTTAATATGGGTATTATATTTGCCTGAAATAGTTCGGCTCGAATTTCACTTCTATCTGAAAAGAAATTAAATAATTTTGTAAGATATTTACATAAAGCATCTTTCATGGTTTTATAGAATATTCTGGGAAATCCATCAGGGCCAGGGGCTTTATTTATTTATTTTTTTCTATAGCTAACCTCACTTCTTCTTCCGTTATTGGTTGGTTCAGATCCTTAATTTGATCCTCTGTGAGGGTAGATAATCCACATTTTTCTAAATATTTTTTCGATCTCTAAATTTGTTTTAAGAGTTTTTAGATTGTACATATTTTGGGAGAAAAAACCAAAAGCCTCACCAATTTCTGATGGAGAATATATAGTTTCCCCTTTGTTTGATATTTTATAGATTCTTTGAGTGGTAGTACGCTTTTTTAATTTGGCCGTCAAGATTTTATCTGCTTTATTTCCTTTGAGATAATAAGACTGATTTAGCTTTGTTAGAGCATCCTTAGCTCATTTAAGGATAACTCTAGTTCCCTTTCTGAAGATGAACGAGAAGAGCAAAATTAAACTGTGCTATCAAAGCTTTAATGTGCATAAGCAACTTTATGTTAATGAAGCCGTTTTGGTGTATAGATCATGTCGCTGTAGTGTCACTGCTCAATTCTCAGGCATTTAGGAGTTAAATCACTTTTGTTTATGTCTGTGCTGCATTAGCCACACCTCTTCTAGCTGTGACTCTCACAACCTACATGAATAAAAAACGTTTGATTTCTTGAAGATCTTACAGCACAGTATGTTTACTTTAGAAGTTATTATTTTCTGCTCTGTTGATTAACAAAGCAGGAGAGAAGAAATTATGAATTAAACACACTGTGCAATAAAGGAAGTTTAAAAATTAGATATCTCTTTGCCTCAAGTGTGTAGGAAAGCTGTATATGATGTTACCCATACCATATCATCCCCATTGCAGCCATGCTGCCTCTTTGGACACATACACAAATATGTGCACACAGATATATATACACTCTGATACAGCACACCTATTCCAGATACACTCACTCATATAACTGCCAGAAAGACAAACACAAAGACCACACAAAGACCCTCATTCTCTGACGCACACAGATACACAATATATAAAAGTTAAACAATACTGGGGTGCTTCCCAGCACAGCATACAAACAAAGTAAAAACAGGAACATACTCTCGGTTTTCCAAGTGTATTAAAAAAATAATCACAATCTATACATCAACATTTCGACCCTCCAGGGTCTTTATCAAGGTCTTTATCAAGATTATGTAAACTGACTGTCAAATCTATAAGTTTCCGTGACAATATATAATTAGATCTGAGACATTATTGATAAAGACCCTGGAGGGTCGAAACATTGATGTATAGATTGTGATTATTTTATGAATGCACTTGGAAAACCGAGAAAGTGCTCCTGTCTTTACTTTGTGTGTGTGTGTGTGTGTGTGTGTGTGTGTGTATGTATGTATGCATACATACATATATATGTATGTGTATATATGTGTTTGTGAGTACACACGTAAATATCTAAATACACTGTCACTGTATTTAGTCATAAATATCTAAATACATACACACATATACACGCTTACAGACACAAACTGCTACACACACACATATTGAAACAGGCAAATATAAATATAAATGCATTCCAATAACTTTCTGGCTGCACTCCACACACATTTACCCTGGCTATGTAGATAATATGCTGTGAGAGCAGCTGCAACCATCAGACAGTAAAGTGTAGATTCACACGGTGATGGAGCAGACAAATCAGTCTCCCCTCTGCCAGTCCCCCATCAGCCACCCTCCAATTACCTTCTTATCTTGAAACAAAGGTGGCTGGTCCTGTACTCAGCAGTTCAAGCAGGCTTTTACAACATCTATTCACTTAGAGCATGGGAGGATGTCTTGTCATGTTACATCCTCTCATCGCTTTGTATGAAAACAGGGTGAGGAGAGAAGGAGCTACTGCATGCAGGGAATATATATATTTTTAGATTTTATACAGTATTGCTTGCCTTGAAATATTTCATATATTGCACAAACAAAGGTCTAGAAGAGATTTTAAAAAGTTGGAATAATACTAATTTTAATATAATTTATATGGACATTCCATGTTATTTAAGTGGCCATAGACTACAGTTGCAGTCATAAATTGGTTCTAAATAGGTTGTCAAGTGAGGAGTGTGGGGTATATAAGATTAAAGATTGCCAGAGGAAGGGAAATGAGGTGGAGAGTTGGGTCTATAGAGGGAAATGAGGGGTTGTGTAGCCAGAAACAAAAGAGTGTCTTGATATGCGGCTATCCAGTGATCTCCAAGTAGTACATATTTAAGAAGGGTCCAAGGGAGAGGGCAAAGAGGAAAGAGGAAAGAGGAAAGATGACAACCTTGGCACGCTCCTTTACAAATAGCAAAAGGTTTAGAGAGGGATCAAATTAAATTAATCTGGGCCATTGGGAATATGTAGAGTGTAAGAATATGTTTTATTTTTGTTGTTTACAGTGGTTGCGACAAGAAAATAAATGTGGGTTTTTCTAATGCCCTTAATGGCATTCTTGGTAATCTATCACCAGGAAGTTAAAATAATGTCTATATATAGGCATATTAGATCTATTAAATATTTGATGTGTCTATTGTAGTTGCATTGAATCATATAATACCTATTAGCCCCTCTACCACCTTACTGTATAAACGGCAGGGCAAGATTAAGAGCCCAGTGGGCCTAGTGCTGACAATTATGACGGGCCTAATTACAGAATCATATCGACCAAAAACAGTAAAACACTCCCAAGCATCATGTATCTGATGAAGATGGTGCTGGAGAGAAAGAAAACAGCAGCTATAAGAAAACACATACCCTAGGCTAATCTCTCTCTAATTTATGTTTTCATCTTTCAAGTAAATCCATAACCCCTAACAGCAGTGTCCAGTCAAGCAGGAAGTCAATGGGCATGGTAAAAGGGTGTGCCACTGACACAAATCATGTAACCTGCCAAAAGGGGCAAACATGCCCAAAAAGAGGACATGTCTGCTCAAAGAATTAGAAGGCCAGCCTGGCATGAATGCATGTCAGGCTGCCTACCAGTCATTCAGGCTGGCCAATTTAGGGCATACTATGCAGACAGCACCCTGAGCTTGTCATAAATGCATCTAATGATGCGCTCACTCAACGCTTTCTAAGGACTGTCCCCTAGCACTCGCTGGTCCACTTGTCTCCTTACCATCTTACTAGCAGGCAGAAGCTCCTGGTATATGGTCTGGGACAGTGAAAAGCTGTAGGTAGTGAGTGTAGAAGAAAGGGAACATGCCACAGTGTTAGAGAGACCAAAGTCAGCATTACCTTAAAGGATCACTATAGGGTCAGGAACACAAACATGAATTCATGACCCTATAGTGTTAACACCACCATCTAGCCCCCCTGGGCCCCTCATGCCTCCATAAATATAGCAAAATCCTACTATATTCAAGCCTGAAGCTGTAACTCTGCATGCTGTTAGACTCATAAAAACAAGCAGTCTGCTGACATCATAAGAAGTGGTGGCCTGATCCAATCACAGTGCTTCCCCATAGGATTGGCTTAGACTGACAAAGAGGCAGATCAGGGTCAGAGCCAGCATGATTCAAACACAGCCCTGGCCAATCAGCATCTCCTTATATAGATGAATTTAATAAATGAATCTCTATGAGGAAAGTTCAGTGTCTGCATGCAGAGGGAGGAGAAACTGAATGTTTGGATGCATTTTAGGCAGCCATGACCCAGGAAGGATCTCTAACAGTCATCTAAGGAGTGGCCGGTGAAGTTATCTCTAGGATGTAATGTAAACACAGCATTTTCTCTGAAAAGACCGTGCTTACAGCAAAAAGCCTGATGGTAATGATTCTACTCACCAGAACAAATTCAATAAGCTGTAGTTGTTCTGGTGACTCTAGTGTCCCATTAACTATATCCATTGTCAGCCAGTCCACACAAGTTTTGTTCCCATACATCTCTCTTAAGTTTCCATACTTAAGTAAGAGTATGTTAAAAGTAGTTAGGGTTGCCACCTTTCTTGGAAAAACATACCGACCTTACTAATTTGCATAATTAAATATGTGTGGGTGATGTCACTTGATGTAAATCACAAGGAGTGACATAAGAGAAAATGCTGTAAAATCACCAAAAAACTACTTAGTTTAAATCTGCTGTATAGATGGATTCCTCCCAGTGCCCCCATGTCTCCCAGTGCCCTCATGACTCAGTGCCCCCATGTGTCGATTACTCCAGGTCTCAGTGTTCCTATGTATCAGTGTCTCAGTGCCCCATGTCTCCCAGTGTCCCCTAAGTGTCGTGTCCCCAGGTCTCCCAGTGATCCTATGTATCAGTGTCTCAATGCCCCATGTCTCCCTGTGTCCCCATGTATCCCAGGGTCCCCATGTCACTAGGACACTAGGAAGACGGGAGACCTGGGGACACAGGGAGACCTAGGGACACGGAGACACCAGTGACACTGGGAGACTAGGGGACTCTGGCTGGGACACATGGGGACAATGGGAAAATAGGGGACACTTGAAGACATGGGGATACAGACACCAGGGACAAAGATACTAGAGACACTGGCTGGGGGACATGGGGACATTAAGACATGGGGGCACTGGGAGACATGGGGACACTGAGACACCAGGGCCACAGACACTAGCTTGGGGACATTGTGACACTTGAGGCACTGAGAGACATGGAGGCACTAGGAGACATGGGGACAGTGAGACACTGGCAGACTGGGGGCACTGGGAGACTAGGGGGCACTGGGAGACTAGGGGGCACTGAGACACCAGGGACACTGGCTAGGAGACATGGGGACACTGTGTCCCCATGTGTCTGTGCCATAATGTCTCCCAATTTCCCTTAGTGTCTCAGTGTCTGCCATAATGTCTCCCAGTCTCCCTTAGTGTCTCAGTGTATGTCTCCTTGCAGCCTTTTCACCCATCCCTTACTTCCCTGAGCTGTAAGCTGTCTCTGCAGGGTGGGAGTTGCTGTCTGGACTCTCTGTAGCTACACCCCTGCAGATCAGTGAGTATAGATAGGCAGGGAGGGATATGCTGGAACTTCCTATCCCTGCCCGTCTCCACATACAGCGACCCCTACTGGCCAGTGCTGGTATTGCAGAGTAATCTCCATTTATACTGAGAAAAATACCTAAATTTATATTGCCAGTATCACTGCAATATTGGCACCAGCCAGGCAGCCTCAAATACTGGCTGTGCCAATAAAATAAAAGCCAGGTGGAATCTCTAAGAGTAGTGTGTGAGAAAAAAAAAATGTAAAAAAAAAGTTTTTTTTTTTTTTAAGTCAATGGGCCTATTCCCTGGGCCTGGGCCTGGAGCTGCAGCTCCATCAGCCCCTATGTTAATCCGGCCCTGATAAACGGAATGTGTTTTTTTCTGAATTTACAACTCACATAGTGATGTCAGGATGTGACACAATATACAAAAATAATTTTCCAAAATATTATACTTATACATATGTACTATTTTCCATACTCTCTAAAAAGACCAGAGTTAAAATATTGCATGGAGAACAATGCATAAAGTCTTAACAGTCTGTCCAGACCGTTTTAGTAACCCTCCATTCAAGTATCTCAGGTTGCTGTGTGTCCCTAATAAATATGTCTGTTCCAAACTAGCCATGGTCCACTTTAGAGTTCTTCCTCCTACAAAATTGTACTCAACTACCTCCTAGATTGGAAACTTTTTCAAGAAGGGCTTTCTACATTTTGTGTGTTTTTGATCTATAGTATCATAGTATCATAGTATCATAGTATCATAGTAGCAAAGCCTTAAATTATAAATAGTATGAAAATAGTATGGAGATACTAAAAATTAAGCTTGACAAAGACCCAATTCTGAGTCGAAACTTTGCAATGTTCCTATTGTTCTAATAAATGTGCCTAAAGCTATTGGAGTGCCTGGACCTTTTCTCTATTATTGATTTTAATATTGACTGTGTAATAATACTTGGTGCCAAATTATTATAGGCATATTTATAATGTTATTTGCATTCTTAGCAATTTTTGTAAAATAATTGTATAGTTTTGAGAATATGAGTGTGGAAGGATATTTCCCCTTTCCCTCTTTTTTTGTACTTTTATGATATAAACTGTGTTGACATACTAAGATACAATGGCGCTACATTGGTTTGGCCAAGTTACAGTCTAATGGTAATAATTGTGTCTTTCAGATTTTCTAACACCAAACCAGTTTGAACTCATTTCACAGTTAACAGGCTGCATCTCGCAGCTTATTCCAAAGGTTTTCACGGACAGCCCTTATCGCACCATCACTGGAGAGTGTAACAACAGGTAAGAGTTCCCAATTTCCCTTGTACAAAAATATCATAACCAAACATTTAGAAAGCCTCTCTATCGTAACCCACAATATCCTTAGAAGTGAATTTTGAAAGTCTCCAAAAGAGAATTTTGACATCATTGCAATTTTGCAGCATAGACAGCTGACAATAATCACAGTGACATTGTGCCCACCAGGGTAGACAAGGAATCAGTGAACTGTTATCTAATTTCCTCAGTTTTAGTGGGGAGTTTAGCACCCTAACATGTAAGTGTTATGTGTTTGCTTAATAGGAAGTATCCCAGCCAAGGTGCTTCCAACACTGGCTACAAACGATTGCTACCAGCTGAATACAAAGATGGTTTTTCACTTCCTCAAGGCTGGACTGAAAACAAGGTCTTTAATGGATTCTCTCTTCCACTGGTAATTCAATTCTCTCTCACTGAAAGGAGTCATTGCTTACCATTGTTTAAGTAACAGTCTCTGTGCCACAGATCTGCCTGTGTGTGGATACATATATACAATTTGCCTATTATGCCTATTTCGCAGAATAAGTTGAAAAGACACAATGTAGCCTTTGTCCACTGAGTACAGACGCCATGCAATGCTGTGCTACTTCTCGATTCCATTGATTTTCTCTTCTAGTCCCCTACCACTTAAATAAACAGTTTCCTTTTTCTGATAACCAATAATTTCATCTTTTTGCAAGCTTCCATAGACACACATATTCGCGCAAGCCTTCTGTAACAGTTTATAACCCTCTTGGTCCCTCTCAATGTATCTGTCCATACTGTCCTCTCATTACTGATCCTGGCCAGCATAACCATTATTCTGACATATACCTGTCCCCCCAGATGCAATTCCTCGCATTCAGATTCAAATTCCTCTGGACACACAACTTATCCAAGGAGGCAGCTGTGGAGAAACCGACAGTGGATCAGCTCATGGGGACCTAGCAGAAGGTCCCAAGATGCTGGGGTGGTCAGAGTGTCTATAGTTTTCCTGATTACTACCAGTGGTTTGTGAGAAATTAGGAAATCTTTACCTAGTTAGCCTTCATAGTGCCGGAACGTGTTGTCATACTCCAACTTTTTCCCTCCTCATCTCTCAGGCAGTGTTAAAAACCTCTGTAAAAATCATTCTTTCAAGCAGAGTGCAAACTTACTAAGAAGAAAGATAAATATATATTATGTTTTGCTATTTTGTAGTCAATATCTGAAAGAGTCACTATCATATTACAAAATGCAGGGTATTATTTACAGAGAAGATCTAACTCTAAAATGTATAGGATTCCGCCCAAACCTGGGTGATAGGCCGTCTTCTCCTCGGAAGTCTAAATTAGACTGGAGACCATATTTTAATTCTGATCATCACTGGCAAATCAGTTTCAGGATGAATTTCTGTAGAACCCTTAAGACATGGGTGCCCAATAAGTAGATCCCCAGATGTTGTAAGACTACAACTCCCATGATGCTTTGTATGTCTTTAGAATGACAAAGCCTCATGGAAGCTGGAGTTTTAAAACATCTGGGGATCTACCTTTTGGGCATCCCTGCCTTAAGAGTATAGGTCTCCCTCTTACATATCATTGGTAGAGGTTACATCACTAACATGATGTTAGTGTTAATGTAAACCTATAACTCACTGTATTTGTTTTAATAATTATTAATTCATTGTTTTAAACAGGCACGTGCAGTATCAAATGAAATTGTCCAATTCCTTACTGAGAGCATAACATTAGACGAAGATAGAGCCCTCATGTTCATGCAGTGGGGGCAATGGACAGATCATGACCTTGACCTGGCCGCCGCAAGTCCTGCCAGGTTAACCTTCTTCAAGAGTGTGGACTGTGAAACCAGCTGTGTCCGTGAAAGCCCATGTTTCCCTTTGAAGGTAGCTGCTTCATTTTTTAAAAGTACTATTTCGTCTATACTGGTTAGATAAATGCTTTATATAAATATATAGGAAACACCTGCATTTTTAAGAGCAGATCTAGTGTAATTTGGCAGCCAATTCAGACACTAAAGTGAAAAATTGTCAGAAATTTAAAGTTAATTCAAAGTGGATTTCAAATTTTAGACCAAAATAGCCAAAGAGGAACCTGAGCTGATGGAGAATTTTTTCAGTTTAGCTATTTTAGCCTTTGTTTGAAATTCACATTGAATTATTTTAGTAAATAACCTCGACAATGTTTCACAGTAACATTTGTAACCCTGTATATCACCCTACTAGTCCGATCATAATGTATGGAGTAGAAATGCATTAAATGACTAAATATTTTGCCATTCCTCATCCTGATTAGAAACTAATTAGAGAAGAAATTGCTCAAAAAATGGAATATGATTTAAAATGTATGATCAACATCATGATAGCACCCATTTAAAATATCAGAGATTAGTACTGATATAATGTAAGATTCGTGTGTTTGCAGTATTCAAACCCTGGATTCTGACAATGATATGTTATCAAGGGGCGCTTTTGATTATTTTTAACTGTTCATTTAAAAATGAGAAATACAGAGTTATTTGCTAAAGTTAGTGTTAGGAATTCAAACTAGTTCTGTCTTAAATTTGAAACTTACTTTGAATTCCTGGCAGTTCCTTAAGTGGATAATTCTGATAGAGTCAACACTATTGAAGTAAACATTGAAAATCAACTCTAAGTTGTGGTAACCTTTTTTCATGTGGTACTGTGTTGTATTTTTGTTTTGTTTTTTAAAAAGACTCTTATAGCACATGTTTTTGTTTTGTTTGAAGATTCCAGCAAACGATCCTCGCATTAAGAATCAGACTGATTGCATCACATTATTCCGATCAGCTCCAGTATGTAAAAAAGGATCTCAAGTTCGTGAGCAGATCAACACTCTCACAGCTTACATAGACGGAAGCCAGATTTATGGCAGTGATGCTCAAACTGCAGAGAAACTACGCAACAACACAAACCAGTTGGGTCTTATGGCAATTAAACAGAACTTCACCGACAATGGTCTCCCATTCTTGCCCTTTGATACCGTTAGTAAACATGTGTGTGTCACAGTTAATGTATCAGCTGGTATCCCCTGTTTTATTGCAGGTGAGATAACAGAATATATGAGAGAGAGAGAGAGATACAGACAGACAAATAAAGGGACTGCATTTTTTTTTAAATCCTTCAGAATTGAAAGAGACTTTAAAAATGTGTTGATTTTATTTAAAATCTTGTTTGTTTATTCTTTTGCTGTCCTAGACTTTGGATATTAATTTTAAGATATAGTCATGTTTAATTTTAAATTATTATAGCCCATCTCTATTTTTCTCCACTCCATTTTTTTTTTATAAAGGGATACTATAGGCACCCAGACCACTTTAGCTTGTAGAAGTGGTCTGGGTACAGTGTCCATATTGCACTTAGTGCCGCAATGTAAAACATTGAAGTTTTAGAGAAACTGCAATGCTTACATTGCAGCACTAAGACAGACAACGACAGTGGAGGCTGCGGAGCCATGAACCAGTGCAGAGGAACATCAGGTGGAGTTTACCATTCAATGTAATTATTGCAGTTCCTCAATAACTGCAATAATTTCAATTGCAGAGTTAAAATGACAGGGACACTGCACCCAGACCACTTCAATGAGCAGAAGTGGGTCTGGGTGTCCCTTTAATAAACGAAATAAATAATACCTACAACGGAAACAAGTCTACTTCATTCTGCAAGCAAAGTAGTAAAAGGTATATGTTTACTTATTTGAAAAGTGATGTGATATTTATGACACTTTGGAAGGAATCTAAATTGAAATAGTTTTGTAACTTAAAAAGATGTTAGTTTGTAGTAGGAGACCCACGAGTCAGTGAGCAGCCTGGTCTTACATCTTTCCATACCCTATTTGTGAGGGAACACAACCGCATTGCATCTGAGTTGCACAAGTTAAATCCAAAATGGTCAGGGGAAACTTTGTATCAAGAAACTCGGACGATCATTGGTGGAATCTTGCAGGTGTGATTATCAGATTACATTACATTCAGGCCAAACACTCTCAATTTATACACAGACCCTCAGCATGGGGTTTCCATACAATAACATAGCAAGTCACTTACTGGCGTCCCTGTGTCTGGGAGATAATTGAGTTTGAAAACTATAACTCAATTATCTCTCAGTTACAGGGAAAGATACAGATTATTCATACAATCCCCTAAAAGTATCCCAAATGTTAACAGGAACCCCACAAGAGTCATATCCCCGGATACCCCCGGATCTGAGTGCCCAACTTGGCCAAATAGCCCTTAGATCAGTTCAGTAGAATGGGATCGCCACCGTGGAAAAAGTTCTGACTGGCCGACCACAACGTGAAAGCCCAAAACAGTTCCAGGTAAATGGGTGCACTGGCCGGTCTCCGTTCGGGGGTTCCTGTGTGAGCACCAAACAAGATATTCCCTTGGTTTCAGGAAGCAAATGCATCCCCCCTAGTCAGTAGTTCCTAGACTTCAAGACATATTTGTAATTATTTGTATGAGAGACTTTTCATTTCTTTTGAGACCCATGGTTCAGCCCTTTCAGATGTCTTTATAAACTTTGTTACATAGGTTTATGAGATTGTGAATTCCTCATGTAACATTGTTATAATGCACTAATTTTTACTCCCAAGGATACAATTCATGGAGGAGATTTTGTGGTTTATCTGCTCCCAGCAATCTGAAAGAGTTGACCTCTGTGTTAAATAACAAGGAGCTGGCCAAAAAGTTTATGAATATCTATGGAACACCTGAAAACATTGATATCTGTGTTGGAGGAGTCGCAGAACCCCTGGTTCCAGGAGGCAGAACTGGAAAACTGCTCACCTGTCTGATTGGGAACCAGTTTTGAAGGGGTCAACAGGGAGACAGGTATGGGACTGAGGCATCAACATACACAGTCTATCATAAGCAACAACAACAACAAAAAAACACCACTTTGTTTAGAGACACAAATGAGAATAATTTAATTACAAATTGCAAAAGGATTTAATTATGATATGGGTCATGTAAAGAAAGATCCCCCGAATCAAGAAATAGTCTTGCTTAGTACGTGCAAATGTTGGCTTACACATGTTTGATAGAGTCCAGATCTAGCTTAATTGTTGAGTTGTTAACCAGTTACAGTGAGGGGAAAAAGGTATTTGATCCTGTGCTGATTTTGAACGTTTACCCACTGACAAAGAAATGATCAGTCTATAATTTTAATGGTAGGTGTATTTTAACAGTGAGAGACAGAATAATAAAAAAGTTATAAATTGATTTGCATGTCAATAAGTGAAAAAAGTATTTGATCCCTTCAACTTAGTACTTGGTGGCAAAATCCTCGTTGTCAATCACACAGGTCAGACGTTTCTTGTAGTTGGCCACCAGGTTTGCACACATCTCAGGAGGGATTTTGTCCCACTCCTCTTTGCAGATCCTCTCCAATTCATTAAGGTTTCGAGGCGGACCTTTGGCAACTTGAACCCGCAGCTCCCTCCACAGATTTTCTATGGGATTAAGGTCTGGAGACTGGCTAGGCCACTTCAGGACCTTAATGTGCTTCTTCTTGAGCCACTCCTTTGTTGCCTTGGCTGTGTGTTTTGGGTCATTGGCATGCTGGAATACCCATCCACGACTCATTTTCAATGCCTTGGCTGAGGGAAGGAGGCTAACACCCAAGATTTGACAGTACATGGCCCCGTCCATCATCCATTTGATGCGGTGCAACTGTACTGTCCCCTTACCAGAAAAACACCCCCAAAGCATAATGTTTCCACCTCCATGTTTGGCGGTGGGGATGGTGTTCATGGGGCTATAGGCAGCATTCCTCTTCCTCCAAACACGGCGAGTTGAGTTGATGTTCAAGAGCTCGATTTTGGTCTCATCTGACCACAACACTTTCACCCAGTTCTCCTCTGAATTATTTAGATGTTTATTGGCAAACTTCAGACAGCCTATACATGTGCTTTCTTGAGCAGGGGGACCTTGCGGGAGCTGCAGGATTTCAGTCCTTCACGTCGTAGTGTATTACCAATTGTTTTCTTGGTGACTATAGTCCCAGCTGCCTTGAGATCATTAACAAGATCCTCCCGTGTAGTTCTGGGCTGATTCCTCACCGTTCATGATTATTGAAACACCACGAAGTGAGATCCTGCATGGAGCACCAGACCGAGGGAGACTGACAGTTATTTTGTGTTTCTTCCATTTGCGAATAATCACACCAACTGTTGTCACCTTCTCACCAAATTACAGATGCCTTAGAAGTTCTATTGTGTCGGTCTTGGTTTGGGTTGTGTATGTTGGTCATAATCCATCAGTTTTTAAGGCTGCTCAGAGGAGTGCCATAAAGAAGGTGACTCTGGCGCGTATCATCTGTGATAATACTAAAATAATGAGGTCCCTCTAAATGTTTTAAAGGGGAATAGCTACCCCAAAGACTTTTTAAAGTGCTCTAAAATCCCATCACTCAACCTGAAGCTTTGGAAGGCGAAATGTGGTAAATTGTCAGATCATTGATAAGAATCAAAATTCTATCATAGCTTTTACACAAATATCTCACTGTGCAGAGGGACACTATAATGAACTGCTCCTTTCTGCTGGCTAAGAGTGGATGCTATAACAACACAACCAGAGCATAGTGTCTATTATATCATTGGTGAGATTTAGGAGTATTTATAGCCTGATTGAAGCAATGGTAATTAGTGCCATTTTGATTGAATGTGGACTGACAGAGCAAACGTTGCATTTGAAGAATTCTTATCCAACTATAGCTCGAAGTTTACATTTTATTCAAAATTACATAGTGGTACTTTCTACATCGCACTTTAATCTATACATTGTACTCGCATCTGTGTTCATAGGTTTTGTGGACCCCTACAAAACCACTGTCAAGTCTCCCTAACACAGATTCCTAGATACATG